GGAATCAGCGTTAAAAACTGAGTCGGTTTATATAAGTTCTGAATAATTCTGAGAAAAGTATTTTTTGAAAAAATCTCTGTACGCCTCCTCAGCGATGGTCTGGCCAAAAATGACAATTTTTTCGATAACTCAACCATTTCTCGAGGGATCCTTCTCATCTTCGAACTCGGCGGAGATATTCATGAGATTGAACTATGCGCAAGATTTCATCACGATCTGACTCTCCTTTCGAAAGTTATCGTGCCTACGGGCGGCCGGACGGATGGGCACACTGGCCGATTTGAGAGTGTACTCACTTTTTGAGTACACAAAAATAGATCATTCTGATTCACGTACTCCCCTTCGTCATACTTTTAGTCTATGGTCTTGGATATAGTTTTATCATTATTTCTTTTCCTCCTTGTCAAAATACATTTGATTATGCTCAAGTAAGATGTGGCGATCCACTTTGCATTTATGATGATCAAGTAATGAGTTTGTGGGATGCCATAATTCATGATCTTACAGCAGCCATCATTATCATCTTCTTTAGTCTTGCTCGTATTGTGAGAAAAAAACGCAGCGTGTATCGATCGATGCATTGGCGTAAACATCGCAAGATGACCATACTCTTATTGTCCATTTCACGTTTCTATCTGATTATATATATTCCGTACATGCTATTGGAAGTCTTACACAGATGTGGTGTTTTAGAAGAATTCGGAGCCGACTTTGTGTTGTATGGAAATTTCTTCTCATATTTTGGCAATCAAAGATTGTCAATCAGTGTTGAAAAATGATTCTGGTCTTTTATAAAAAAAAAAAAAAACATTCAAAAAGTAAAATCTGTAGTGTTGTTCGTTCAATAGCTGATAACTTTGATGGCCAAGTAGTAGACTATCGTTTTGAACGCCCCAAGAATGAGGAAGTTATGCTTGGGCAACAACCATTAAAACGTTTGACAGACAGTGAAAAAGAAAGATACAAACATTCTTACTCTTCATGATCGATGTGATGTATTGATATGCGTTTCAGTGATCTAGTGCAAAGATTCTCTCTTTGTGATGTTTTGAAAGAAAAAGTAATAATACAACTGAGGACTTTTCCAGATATTATCCTTCTCGAAATTTGATTACTATTCGACAATGTATATGGTATTAGTACATTTCTTCACCTACATCCACAACGACAACTACACGCTTTACATTTACTGCCAATATTTCCAGAATAGAGGTGTGAATAATTCGGGGTGTAGATGTGTGACCCGGCCATTGGCGATTTCAATAGTTTAATTTCAAATAAAAATGTGACGAAAGGCAAAATCAATTCTAAACGAATAAAAATCATGCTTTGCATCACATAATCAACTTGATGAAAAATTCATTTAAATAAAAACAAAATTTGTAGATAATTATAGATATATTTTTCAGAGCAAAATGGTTTTATTTCGTTCATAAACAGCGTAATTCTTGTTAATTTTTATAAATTGCATGAGATAAAATACAAAAAGAGATTTGAAATAAAAAGAAAAAAGTTTGTCGGCGCAGTCCCGTTAGAGCTAAAATGTGAAACCGACGCATTACGGATCACTTAGATAAATACCAATTCGATAGAGAATTTTTTTTTAAATAGAATGAGTTTCATAATATTTTTAGGAATGAGATAAAAGAATAATAATATAGCTAACAAATATAATCTATTATATCTAAAATAGTTTCAATACAATTGAAATTATAAATATTAATTCTCGATAATTCGAGCATCATTATTTATTAGTTTTTTTTTCTTTATCTTTTATAATAATAATAATAATAAAGTATGATATTAACCAGCATCTTGTTCCTATCATTAGTTTTAAAATGTTTTACATCTAACTAAAGATAATTTTTTTAAATAAAACATAAATGATCTTTAAGACATTTTTTAATAAAAACAAAATACCAATAACTTAGAGCTCGACTTAAATGTTTACATCTACTTTTTGATCTTGAAATAAAATAAATATGAATTCTGATATTTAAATTGCTTAACTATTTTACAATAAAATATATTAGTCGATTAAAGTTTTTACTAATTTTTTTGGCCTACTGAAATTCAAAAACAAATTTTTCAATGAATTATGCTTTCGTACCGGTATTTAATTACTAGTAGTATCTACTGTGAATATTATTTATTTCTACCTTTATTCGTATATAATAAAGGTAAATAAATAAGTTTTGAAAACAGTTTTAAATGTATTTCATCTGTGGTAGATAATCGTAATAGACAGTGGTTGCTAATGTGCCCAACAGTAGCATATATTCGTTGCTAGCTTTTTGTAATAGTAAAAATATACCAGACCAGTCGTAACTATGGACTATAATAATAAAAACGATAGATTTTAAAGATTAATTTCATCTTACAATTTCAATTATTGCTGTTTGGTTATCTGTCTGTACAACTATGAGCAACACTAATTAGCTTAGTAATGATAGACATTATTGGAAAAATATATTACAACAATATTGAACATTCAGCTAAACATCCCAGAAGTACATCGGACTCCAGCGCCATCACTAAATATATTTCGAAGTTCAATTATTAACCAATGAATGTTTCAGATAACTAAATAAATCACACGTCACACACACAATAATGACATATCTCCTTTTTTTCTTCTTTTCTACTGTCACAACAAGCGTCATCCTTGGTTCGCCTATTTATTTGTTTTTCTTTCTTTATTGTATTTTATTACTGCAATTTTTTATATTTCGAACAGCATTGCTTTATCATTTTATACACTTTGTAAAACAAAAGAAGTAGACGCGGCGAATACTTTCATAGGCCATGTTCATTTGAATAGTATCAATAAGAAAAAGTCATGTCATCAACGTATCGTCGTGAAATACATGCAGCAGCTGCTGCTCCAACTACAGGTGGTATGCGTGGTGTTATCTTTGGTAAATTCCTTGTTATTCCAAATGAAATACATGAATACATGCGAGTTTTCATTTTATTTACTAGGTGGCATAACGGGTGCCATTGAAATTTGCATAACATTCCCGACAGAATTTGTCAAAACACAATTACAATTAGATGAAGGCTCAAGTAGACGTGGTGAACCACGAAAATATAATGGTGTTATTGATTGTGTAAAAAAAACAGTACATTCAAGAGGTTTTTTTGGTCTTTATCGTGGCCTTAGCGTACTTCTATATGGATCGATACCGAAAAGTGCAGTAAGGTAAGGAATGTAAAAGAGAAGAAAATTGTTAGAAACTGAAAGAGTTTTTTTTATTAGATTTGGAGCTTTTGAAGAACTGAAAAAATATGCAGCCGATGAACATGGCCAATTGAATAGCAAAACTCGACTTTTATGTGGTTTGGGTGCTGGTGTAAGTCATTAAATTGTTTTTTTCAATGCCATTAATATTGAAATTTAATTTCAGTTAGCCGAAGCTTTACTTGTTGTCACACCCATGGAAACTGTCAAAGTTAAATTTATTCATGATCAAAATTTAGCTAAACCAAACTTTCATGGATTTTTTCATGGAGTTCGTGAAATCATTCGAAAAGAAGGTAGTTTTATATTTCGGACTCATCAAGGGGGGGGGGGGGCTGATTTGTTGTGCTAGAAATCACAGAAATCAAGAAATAAGTTTTTTTCCCTTGGGACTCATAGATTTTGTTCATTTTATTTTTTGATTAGGTATTCGAGGCACATATCAAGGTTTAACACCAACTCTACTTAAACAAGGAACAAATCAAGCTATTCGCTTTTTCGTTATGGAAACATTGAAAGAACACTATAGAAAATATACTAACAAAGGACAACACGCACCAGTGCCCGTGATTATTACAGGTATATTTGGTCTGATGGCTGGTGCAGCTAGCGTCTTTGGTAATACACCATTGGATGTTGTTAAAACCCGTATGCAAAGTCTTGAAGCTGCAAAATATAAAAATACATTTGATTGTGCAATAAAAATCTTGAAAAACGAAGGACCGCTGGCGTAAGTTGACTTTTTTTAAATTGAAAAGGAATGTTTTTTCATGTTATTTATTTAGATTTTACAAGGGTACCGTACCACGACTCGGTCGTGTTTGCGCTGATGTTTCAATTACATTTATGATTTATGACAAAGCTATTGAAGCATTCAATCGTATGTGGTCATCTAAATGATCATTTCATTTTATTCAGGTTTGACGTACACTTCTCATACATATCATTCTCATATCGTGTTCCAATATTTATCAATCTGATTTTTCCGTTGAACCAGTTCTGTGTTTTTCACATATTGATAATTAAAAGATTTATTTTAATAAATGACAAGCGTTTTTTGTGTAGCAGTGTACGATAGAAAATGGCGCTCTCTTTCTTTTTACGCATAATTGGTTATAATTCAAACATATGTGTCAAACATGAATTCAATTGAAAATTTCAATTTCGAGACTACCGATTTTTTCGTACGCATCTCAGCTGAAATGTCTAAATAAAATCACCAAATATTGGTTTCATGTAATTCATAGAATAACGATGAATTTAACCAAGCGTAGCGAGAATAGACAAATGTATGATGACTTCTGTAAGAAAATTTTTGCGAAAGATTGTCTGATTACATTAGTATCCATTAGAAAGAAAACTATGAAAGAGATGTCTAGTTAATCGGAATCGATGGTAGATGACTATGCAGAGCATGTTTTTAAACAATCAAGTTTAAAATGATTTATACTTTTTTCTCGCATTGTGCATTCATGAACCTCACTAATCAATTTTGTAAAAACAAAAATCCTTTCGTCATAATTAATTCCTTATTCTCAGAGATTAACTGAGTTTTTATAGTAACACTGACGAATCAATATAAAACTAAAGACTGTTTATTAAGTTTGTGATTTATTTCCATATAGACGTTCGAACGTCCTTTATAAATCGTAAATCTTACTTGTCGTTTAAGCAGTGTGATATCACCAAGGAGAACAAAATCTTCACAATGATTCTCATCGAGACAATTTACCCTCTCAAATTGATCACTATGATAATAGAGATCAACAAATGCTGTTACTTATCTAAACTAAATGTGGATGTAAACTTGAACTACCTAAACGTCTCAGTATTGCTAGAATTGGAGTTTATAAAAAAAGAAGATTTACATTTATCCAATTTTATTCGATGCTGGTGATTATATTGAATCATGAAACAGATTGTTCAGCTGAGAAACGATGTCACGATATCGCTGTTGTTTGCAACACTTTATTTTTTGAATTCATAGAATTTTTATCGACACTATGAAGCGGCCGTTGGAAAATTTGACATATTCAAAGGAAGAATTCTTTTTTCTGAATTGTTGCACATTGGAAAATGATTCTGATAATCATGATAAAAATCTTCTCATTCAGCTATTATCAGCACTGCATGACTCGTCTAAAACTCGATAAGGAGCTTCTCGTTTTTAAGAAACATCTACTTCCGACCATACACATGTTTCAATGATAGCAACGAAATTCTATACATCAGCAACAATGATTTATTTCAAAGATTATAACTTCTATGTTTGAAGTTGATGTGTCTCAAAAGAGCAATGAATAAATCTTTGTTTTTTTTCTTTCATTTAATACAATAGTGCAAATCAAAAATCAAATAAACGCTAGGAATGTATTCTACCAATTACTGAAGAACTGGCTAGTCCCACGTTTGAATAATTCTTGATCTTGTCTATAAAACAAAATAATCTAGTAAATTATTTCAAAAAACAATTTCATTTACTTTCTTTTATCAAGATCATCATAATTAATTGCACGTCGAGCTAAAACTAGAATCTATAGCAAGTGAATTGTAGTTAAACTAATCTTACAATTGCGTAAAAGAATTTTTCGGAACTTGCAAATATTTATATCGTCGATGAATTCTAACGACTTTTTCGAATCTTCTACTCTTGGCGGTAATGCACTTCGGCATTGAGCGTGATCTAGAATAAAAATGCAATTCCCATGTGGCAACGCTCAGTTAAACTTACCGGACGATAGAACAAATATTACAATGAAAACCAAAATTAAATATCGAAATAACTTCTGCATATTGAATAATCTATTTAAATAAAATAGTGAAAATCTGATCGGCTCTTTTTATCATTCAATAAAAATATACGCAAAAGAACAACATACACTCTGTCAACTGAGAATCTGACTTTAGTATTTATATACTGCTGGTTGACACTTATGTATATAACTAAACGCACATCTGATCAGATTTTCCACCTACCTATTGGAGCGATCACGTGCTTCTAAAGTAGCTTTGCATATGCCATAAAAACTATACGCTCAATTATTTTTTCTTTGGCATACGCCTATTAACTTATGGGTAGATTTTCTATCTAACTTTATACTGCAGTATTTAGAACAAAACAAAATTCATGGTTTATTATTTCGGAAGTGCCTCCCTTTATCATGGAGTATACATGTTAGAATAATTATATTCTCATAAAATTGGCCAATTGTATGCTTAATATTTAATACAAAATTGAACTTCAATCGAAAAAAACTGCTAATCTGTTGTCAATTAACTGTCCTAATGATATACACATAAAATCGGTTGCGGCTCATTGTGTACTCGCGTGACAACATACATTTTAATTAGGTTCGCATTGCTCATACGATTAAAAACGTAAGTTTTCAGTGTTCGTAATAAATCATAATACTAAAGATCCATGTATCTTGAGATATATTGGTAAAATGCCGGGGAACACAAAACTTCCATACCCCGGAGCAGTGTTTCCAATGGCAAGCGTACACAGCAGAAGCAAAATGTACAGAACATCTACTAGTTTTGATTTACACTCTGCTATACACTTGCCCAGAAAACAAAGTGTACAATGTACACTTCGCTAAAATAATTTACACTCTGATTTCTTTGATCTCTGAACCTTAAAAGCCGCATATAGTTTCAAATTAATTAAGTGTGATATTTTTTTGTTCGCTAGTGATCAAAATGTTGGTTTCATGAAATAAAAAAAATGGCGAAAATTATATTTTGTTTTCTCAATTGTGAAAATTGGGCTTTTGTACACTTTGCTCATAAAAAACAGAGTGTACTGTACATTTTGTTTTAGATTTCCATTGGAAACACTGCTCCGGAGTACAACTGTAAAAGTTCAAAGATTTCTCTCCTAACACATGCGTGTTTGATATTGAATGGCTGAAATAACTTGGATTTTTTTAATATAAATTAGTGCGGATCAAATACTTTTGTGGAATGATGTAGTTTTACTTAAAAGAGATTTGAATTGATTACAGATAAATTCAGTCGCAAACATATTGTATCTGAGAACAGTTGTCTACTATATTTCATTGTAAAATTTAAAATACTTTTAGATGCTTTTAGCACGATCTTAAGCAGCTACTCTTCATTCTATTTGGAATAATTTTATTTTTTTCATCTTATTATTCTAGACATAGTTTGATTGCCTTGTCAGATGTCGTCGCAGATCATAACGCAACATCATTCGACGATAGACTGAGAGATTTTTTGAATCTTCCATTATATTACTTCGTGATTTTACCATTCGATTATCAAGTCAACATTGGATTTCCAAAGCAGAAAAAGTCATCTTACAAATAACCTCTGCTGTTGTACTTTGTCTTTATTTTTTCCGAATCAGATCATTGTGAAAATATCAAATTCGATTGAAATGCAACGTTTTCTATTTCTGGAAAAAAAATAAACTAATGCGTTCAACGAGCAATTGATTGCTTATACATTAGTAACTATTTCATCGTAGACGCACTACGAGGCTGTCAATCGTAATTGTGATAGTGATTTGTGCAGTGAACGCTATTTCAAACAAGAATTATTTACTTTTCCAACGACAATTTCTGTACCAAAAACATTCCATTTGTCTTTTGACTGAAAATTAAAGGCAAACACGAAAGCACTCGTACTGCAGCATGTATTTTACTAGCGGAAACAAATCGGATGAGTCTCTAAAAAATAGAGTTGACAAGGAAAAAATTACAAAAAGAAGCTGAAATGTATCTTCGTCAATGTTTTTTCTTATTCAAGGTTATTATAAAAAGAGAAAGATGGACATATGATGATATCAAATCACACTTCTATTTTTTTTGCCTCGTTTTGCATGTCTTTTTAGCTCATTTTCCCATTAAGACAAAAGAAAACGAGACAACCTCGTCGAATCTGACTGTCTAATCAAAAAGGCAAATCACTTCGCTTCAGTGACAACTGGAATATAAACGAGGGACTGGAGCAAGACAGAATGAGAGAAACAAATGTTAATTACTAACAGCATATAATCCGAGTAGGAACATATTTCTTCAAACCCAGAAAAAAAGAAGAAATTCATCTCTTTCGGTTCAATAATGATAAACAACAAAGAAAGACTTCGAGAGAAAAATATATGAATAGACAGAACTGATCTTCATTTATTCGGCTTCTTCAAACTGACAAGAAGTACACTAATATTTTTAGTATTGTGCTCTTACCGATATTTATAGTTAATAATAGCTTCTTTTTCCACGCCGGTACAACAACTATACAATGAGTTCGACAACGTCGGGCAATTCAACCATGTCTAAGTTTCTCTCGAAAAAAACATCATCAGCTAGTAATAGTTCAACATCAGGAACAAATACTAATACACAACGAGCTACATCCGATGACGATATGATTCATAGCGTTCAAGCACCGTTGGCAAGAGAATCATCGAGCGGTTTTAATTATCAAACATTGACAGAAACATCACCATTAGCTGAGTCAAAAAGTAAAACTAGACCGCCTGTTCGTTCTCTGAGTTCGAATGCTGAACTCGGTTATCATTTACATCAAATAAAAAATTTAAATAAACGTAGGCCAACATTGGGCGGAGATGATCGAAATAAAAACGAAGATCGTATTCATTTGACATCATCAAATCTTAAAATTGTGTGTAATGAAAATGGAAAACAAGCTTCAACAGTGGAATTACAAACAATCGAAGCAAATATTGATTTACTTGCTTCATGGAAACCGCCAATCCCACCGCAAGCTGCTATTCCCAGAGACGCATGGGATCATAAAATTGAATTTCTTCTTGCTGTTATTGGCTATGCCGTTGATTTAGGTATGATCTTATATATTCGTTGTTTTTCTGTAAACTAGGAATATTTAGGTAATGTGTGGCGTTTTCCAACAACTGTCTATAAGAATGGTGGCGGAGCATTTTTTATTCCTTATTTTATTCTTCTGATTTTTGGCGGCCTACCACTTTTCTAGTAAATATAGATAGTCATATTCGCATGGCTCTCTGATATGAATTGTATTTTTCTATAGTATGGAACTTGCTCTTGGTCAATATCATCGAGCAGGTGTATTTACAATATGGAAACATGTATAAGTTTTAAGTGCATTGAATTTAATTCCTATGAAATCTTTTTTTTGCTTATTAGATCTGTCCATTAGTCAAAGGTATTGGTTGGGCAACAGTATTAATTAATTTTATGACTGCAACATTCTACAATACAATTATATCATGGGCTGTTTATTATTTGGTTATGTCATTCAATGGTTTACGAACTGAATTACCTTGGAAAAGTTGTGATCATGAATGGAACACAAAATGTTGTGTAGCAGCCGATGTTAAACAATACGAATATTTATCTCAATTAATGAATCTAACAGATAAAAAATTCAATATATCAGGGGAACCTACAAAGAACTGCACTCGATTAGTATATTCAACGGAAGAATATTTCTAGTGAGTAGATTTTATTTTTGCTTAGAAAGTTTTCAAAAAAAAACAAAGAATTCTGTCTAGTCGACGTCTTCAAGAAGTAGACAAAGCCGATGGTTTTAACAATTTAGGCAAAATTAAATGGGAACTTGCCATCAGTCTTTTAGTCGTTTTTGTTCTTGTCTATTTTGCTCTTTGGAAAGGAATTAAAAGTTCAGGCAAAGTGAGTCTTTTCGCGCGCTTCTACATATTCTTATGTTTGACTTGGAATTTCTAGGCCGTATGGATTACTGCTATTGCTCCATATGCAGTTTTATTCATTCTATTAATTCGTGGTGTTACCTTGTCGGGTTCATCGATTGGTATAAAATATTATCTACGGCCAAATATGGAACTATTAAAAGATTTTTCTGTATGAACAAATTTTTGACAGTATAAATAATGGTTTCTTTTTTTTATTCATGAATAGATTTGGAATGCAGCAGCTACTCAAATATTTTTTTCACTTGGGCCAGGTTTTGGTGTTCTTCTAGCTCTTTCATCGTATAACAAATTTAATAATAATTGCTATCGGTAAATAATCATGATGCTTTTTCCTCATGTTTTTTTTTCTTCATATAGTGATGCATTAGTGACAAGTACAATCAATTGTGCAACATCAATTCTAGCAGGTTTTGTTATTTTTTCAACACTTGGTCATATGGCTAGTGTATCAAGAAAAACTATTGAAGAAGTTATCGAAGATAAAGGTTATTTTTGTTAAAATTATTTCTTGAAAACTTTTAGTCTCTAGAAAATATTAGGCTCGGAACTTGTCTTCATTGTCTATCCGCATACAATTGCTTTAATGAATTGGTCAACATTATGGGCTGTTCTATTTTTCTTTATGGTCATTACATTGGGTATCGATAGTACAGTGAGTTGTAATTTCGAATAATCAGCAGAGATTGTAAATACTGTGAAAATCAATTTTAGTTCGGTGGTCTTGAATCAATTATAACCGGTTTGTGTGATGAATTTCCCAATTTATTCGGACGGCATCGTTCGTTATTCGTACTTGGAGTTCTGATAATATGCTATTTGGGTGCATTACCAACATGTACTTATGGTGGTGATTATATAGTAACTTTAATGAACGAAATCGCAGTTGCTCCAGCTATTCTTCTTGTCGTATTTATTGAATGTATTGCTGTCTCATGGTTTTATGGTAACAGATAAAAGAAAAGAAAAGAAATGAGATTGAAACAATTCTATTTTTCGATTAATTTAGGTGTTAATCGATTTTCATTTGATATCAAATCAATGATTGGCTCACGACCATCATTATTTTGGAGAGTCATTTGGTATCTTATTAGTCCAATATTTTTATTTGTAAGCGAATATTTTCTTAATTTTCTTATAATTAATCTTCGTATGATTTAAGATAATATTCTACATTGCTATGAGTAATTTTCTGGCTGGTACAATTGCAATTAAAACAACCGATTTAAAAGATTTACCTTTTACTATACAAGTATGGTCATATCTTATGGTATTTTTACCAATGCTATGTATACCTGGTTATGCTATTTATAAATTAATCATAACACCAGGAAAAACATTCGATGAAGTAAATTAATTTTTTATTTTTATGAAGTATAAGAAAGAAATAATGTCAATCTTTTTTTCTTAGCGTCTTCAACGGGCAGTTACACCTGAAGAACCCATTCTTGAACTTATACAATATAGATTAGATGCTGCACAAAAACAACAGCAAAAACAGCAGCAGCAGCAGCAAAAGGATAAAATTGAACTTCTCTAATCATTCAATATATGGTCATATTTATTCATTGTTCCTTTCTTTTTCTTTGTAAAAAAACGAATTTATCCAAAAAATACTTTAAACTTATAAATCATTTACTTCCCATTTTTCTCCATACGTGTACAACTTTAAAAGTCTTTATAAACTATTTCGAAATAAAAATTAGTTCAATATATTGCATATACTAAGATATTTTTTGTCGTGAGAAATTGTATTCTAACGAAAACGATAGACAATAGAATAAGAAGAATAACATTGGTACGTGTTTTAATCTATCAAAAGTGATAATGAAAAACATGATGGTGACAATAATGTTGTTCTTAGTGCAAATAAAGATTAAAAGAAAATTATTAAATAGTTGACTATTCTTTATGTTCTCCCAGGAAAAAGTTTGCTTCCATCTGATTCATAACGAATGTTTTAAAAGATAAACATACTTATACACATATCAATATTATATACATAAAAAGAAAATGAAAAAAAGATCGAGCTCGGTAGATAAGAAAAAAGAAATTGATTGGAATGTGTGTACATCAAGAGTAAATAATGGCTACAAAAAAAAAGGAATGAATATAAGAGATTCACAATTTTAACACGGACGGTGTCTTTTGTAAATGAGAACTATTATGTGAACGATAAAGATCACTATCATCATCATCGCTCATACCACCATTTATTTGAGATCCACTTTGATTCGTACTACTACTTGTATTATTTTGTCTTATGGATGGCATTGGACTTCTTGTTACTGATGAAGCTGTACGCTTTAAATTAAATGTATCATTTTGTGGTCGAACAGTGATTATTAAATTATGGCTATTAGCTACCATCATATCGGTTACTTGATCAAGTGTTTTTTCACTTACTTCAATACCATTAACTTCAATGATTTGATCGCCTACTGAGAGTAAACCCGTGGATTCAGCTAAACCACCAGGTAGAAGACGTGAGATAAATACACCGGGTACATTTTCAACGCCGTTTACACTATATCTAATAGCTACACCATCACGAATGTAAAAGCCTAATGGCTTACTTTCTTTGTAACGATGTAATTTAACGCGACGATAGGTAACAGGTAAAATTTCAACATCAATTATTGATGAAACAAGACGAAAATCAGGTTGTACTTCGATATTACGTTGTGGTGATGAATGATGTTTGTCTGACGATGAATGAATTAATGATGACAATTGATCGGATATTTTTTTTCGTTTTCGTAATGAATCAGTTGCGTATTGATAAGATTCACCTTGATGAGAACAAGGGGGAAAAGTTTAAGTTTTTGAAATTAAAATAAAATCTCCGTATTTCTTTACCTTTTCGTTGTATAAATACTCTTAATAAACCTGTATTAACACGTAAAATATGTTCGATAATTGTATCATTATTTATTGAGAGCAGTTCACCATCTTTATCCAAATATGTAATATGGAATGGAATATGTTGAAGACCATGCACATCTTCAATTAATTTATGAAAATCATCGAATTTTATTGGATTCTGTCGATCGAGTTCAAATCGACGAAATTCAGCACCGAACTAAAAAAAGATAATGTAAATGAAATCAAAAATAATCAACAACAAAAAAAATTGTCCATACTTTGCTTTTGACTTCAAGTAATGATAACATTTAATGAACTAATTATCGTAAACAACTAAGATAACGATGTAGTTTGACACGAATAAATAAACAACGATAGAGTAGTAGCGTATGTGTATTGTTGTTTCATTTGTTCTGTTTTATATAATTGGTAAGAACAGATACATGGATAGATGTCACTAGTTTATACCGAATGACAAAAACAGATTTTTCAAGTTTGATTGAGAAGAAAATATTATTGTCTTCTTCCTTATTATGCATCTCTGTAGGTTTATCAGAGATCGTTGTCTAGGTCTAGAGTATCGAGGGGTGGACAATATCCCCAAAAACCGAGAAATCGTTCCATTTACAGCAGAAATGCTTCAACCCCCACAAATTCAAGCAGAAATGCTTCAAAAGAAACCCATTTCATCGTCTAGTGATTTAATTCAAGCAGACATCAACCAACCATTTCTACTGCGATAAAGAGAAATGGAAACATAACAAGGAGATATCGATGATGTTCTTTTTCAGCTTATAGGCAGATTTTAGTAGAAGCGGTTATTTTAACGGAGAAATGGTAGATTCTTAGTGAGAAATGAATCAACCATATCTACCATCACTAGGAGAAGTAGAAATAAATTAAGGAGATATCGACAAAATCTCTAACACAATCGTTTATTTCTTTTTTCTTTTTAAGAGGATATCGAAGCAGAAATGGATTTTCCAAAGCAGAAACGCTAGATTCTTAGGGAGAAATGAATCAACCATATCTATCCTCAATAGCAGAAGTTAAAAATAAATTAAGGAGATATCGATAAAATATCTAACACAATCGTTTATTTCTTTTTCTTTTTAAGAGGATATCGAAGCAGAAATGGATTTTCCAAAGCAGAAACGCTAGATTCTTAGGGAGAAATGAATCAACCATATCTATCCTCAATAGCAGAAGTTAAAAATAAATTAAGGAGATATCGATAAAATATCTAACACAATCGTTTATTTCTTTTTCTTTTTAAGAGGATATCGAAGCAGAAATGGATTTTCCAAAGCAGAAACGCTAGATTCTTAGGGAGAAATGAATCAACCATATCTATCCTCAATAGCAGAAGTTAAAAATAAATTAAGGAGATATCGATAAAATATCTAACACAATCGTTTATTTCTTTTTCTTTTTAAGAGGATATCGAAGCAGAAATGGTAGATTCTTAGTGAGAATTGGATGAAGTATTTTCAGGGAGAACAGTTAATATGTTTGTGAAATGAGGAGAAGTGCACATGATTTCTAGAGAAACGTTTGGTTATTTGTGATTATAAGGGATGCACTTCTAAAAATTAGGATTAGGAAGAGAATTCATCGATATCTCGAATGCGGGTTGTAAGCGTGAAAGTGTCGTTCTGGTTTAAAATGCTCGTTTTTCTCACAGCAAGAATATGCGTGCTAAAACGTAATGTTTGCATGTTACGGGAAGATACGATAACGATGCGATGGGTTATAACTTCTATTGCAAAAATGATTGGGAACTATGTGTTAAGGTTAAGTTTTAAGAGTTCATTGGCTGATGAAACGGATAGATTTGAAGTGTATATCTGATGAGCACAATTATTACGGAAGTCTTCGCTGTAGCTTAAATTAATTCGTAAAATGGAAATTTACGTTTCTGCCTAACCAACAAAAATAAGGTTCCGAATTTTCAGTTCCTTATCTTATTCTTATCCCTATTTTATCGTTCGCTTTTTTCTATTTATACACCGTGTGCAACCCTCACACACATACGCACAGAAGAGAGAATACAAGGGCAGAAAAATAGAGAAGAGATATTTGTGGATTTCTACTAGGCTGTTTGTATTAAAAGATGTTGCTACATCATCCTATAAATGCACTTAAATTTAAAGTCGAAGACACGAGGCGATTCAATTTACATCGTCACGGACGGAAGGAAAAAAGGGAAAAAAGAGATGGAGAGAGAGGAGCGATATAAAGAAAAAGAACGATTGTAGTATGTGCATCTCGAGTTGGCTAGTACATACATACAAGAATACATGACAACATAAACATAATACAAGAACGTATAAGAAGAAGTAAACAACTAAAAAGATTTTGTTAGACTACTCTGTAACAACAGCGTATACTCAGGCTAATGCGGAAATATGAAAATCAATGAGAATGATGTTAATTTCTCTAGGAAAAATGATTTGGAATTACGGATTGATGCAGACATGTGAGCGATAGATGCTTCGTGAGATGAATGAATTAGGAGGTCTTATAAAAAGAGGATAGTATTTACTAAGGCATGCAGCGGGAAATCGAAGAAGGGACGAGAATAATGTTTGTTTCTATAGGAAAAATGATTCCAAATTATGGATTTATGTGAGCATGCAAGAGGCTAATGCTTCGTGCGATAAATGAATAAGAAGACACAATTCGAAACTGATACTATATATTAGGTGTTCAGCAGAAAAGTGAAAATTAATTAGAATTTTTTCAATTTGTATAGAAAATCATCTGAAATTATACCTTTAGATGTGGCATGATCGAGAATTTATCACTTTTGAAGGGAGCATGATAATAGAATGGAAGTTGGCGCGCGAAGAACTTAATAGGTTCTGTGAACAATTTGTATGACGAATGTCCTCCCAAAAAAACCGAATGTTAAATATGATAATGAGAGTGATTTTCGATATTACATAGATTTTTGGGTAGCCGGGAACAAGTTGTGTAGGCACGGATATCTTTTGTGAATGTAAACAATACAAATGTTCGATATACATTCACTATACATATATCGATTTATATGTATATTGTTGGTCGTTCTATTTAAACAGAAAGGAAAGATAAATTCATTTTTGACCTGCACAGTATTTTTCCGCTTGAAATGAGGATTTTTCATCCCGATCGAGTTTTTTTCCACTGCTGGTAGAAATGGATTTTTTCAAGCAGAAAACTGATGTTTGTGACAGATATTTGATACTTAGTACAATACTTAGTACTTTTCGAACTCAGTTCGTAAAAATCTTAAGCGCTAGTACGTTTTTGAAGTGAAATTACATTAACTTATGTCCAAACATACTCATTACGTGTACTACAATGCAGTTTTGTACTTGGTACCGGTAGTAAGTACAAAAATATACTGTAGTATGGGTACTCAGTACGTTTGGACTTAAGTAAATGTACTTAAATAAAAATACAACGTACAATTTTTAAGTAAACAGTACTTGTACTGGAACTGATCCAATGCCTGGTTTATACGAAATCGATAAGTTATATATAAGATGAACAGTAGAAATTTAGTAATGATGAGACTATTTTCTGTCACTAAATGTAATGTTACAGGTCGCAAAGAAATAGTGAAGCTGTCAAAATTGTGATTTAAATTCTAAGTTAAGTGAGTGAGTAGTTGACTAATTCGAATAAGAATATAAATGAAAAATTCAAAAACGTCATGGTAGCAGATGTGTGTGGTAGAGAAAAATTTATCGAAATCATATATCTGTGAACGAAATAGGACTTTCCTAAAGCTACGTTGCTTGAAGAATTATCTGAGGTGCTACAAATATCGCATGCAGTTCTACAGATATCATCTAGGAAGTAGGTGCATCAGTTATTCGAGAGTTTGAACTCGAATATGAACTAGTGATAGATGTTGGGTTTTACACATAGATGAGCTTATGTCATGGTTCTGTGGGGGCTCATAAGGCCCTCATGTCGCGATACTGAAAATAATAAGTCATTGAGGTTATCCAGTGTTAATTTAAGAATTTTAGCATGTAAGTAATAGTTGTACTATATATTTACCTGTTTCCCACAGTTGACTTTGCTGTCAATTATATTCGAATTATAAACTTATAACTCGAAAAACTTTTAGTTCTCCTTTCGCTAGCAAATTAGCATGGATTTCTTTTTTTCTAGTTTTCGAACCAATGTGTAGTAGATGATCATTTATTCATATTGAAATCAAATAAAACAGCTCATTTAAATTTAAAGTGATACTTTTTATCCGATGGAATACTTCTAGTATCACAGGGAACACTTCTAACAGCCAGATGATACTGCCAGTATCATGTATGAATGCTTGTTGCATCTCAGATGATATTTCCAGAAAAGCAACTTTAGGAAAGTGTTATCTCATTTATGAAGTTATAATTCAAAAACATTTGTTTCTAACAGTCAGAAGTACTGGTATGATTTGTTTTCGAATTTATCTTAGACACTACGAAGCTCATTTCTATTACTATTATAATCAGGCAACTTATGTAACAATTAGATTCTTAGCTAGCTTTAGAGGAATTCAAGTACATGAGTACGTTGACGGTATCCCAGGACGAGCTTTACGACGTCCGTATACGGTGAAATACGGGCCGTATACGACGGTAAATCGCCGTATTTGGCCGTATTACATGGCTCCGTATTACGATCGTAAATCTCCGTGTCGTAATACGGTGAAATACGATCAAAAACGACCGTAAAGCGCCGTATTTCGCCGTATACGGCACGGAGATTTACGATCGTAATACGGAGCCATGTAATACGGCCAAATACGGCGATTTACCGTCGTATACGACCGTGTATGTTCGACCTGGGTATATATAAAAAAACATACTTTCTAGCATTTAGTTGCTGTTTTTAATTTAGATATCATTATTAGCATCAGAATACTTATTTCCACTAGGATCGTAACGTTCGAAAGGACAGGAAAAATTAGATCACCAAATCAAAACAGCATTTTGAACTTAATGATTACAAGTCTTATTGATATTTAGCTAGACTATGTTAATGTTACACACGAAAATAAAATTTTAAAATTCAGCTTTTATTTCTCCTGAAGAAATTAATCTAAATTGACGTTGCAAGAAATATTTTATTCGATATTTTAACTTCAGAGAATAAAAATGCGCTGTAATTATTAAAAACAAATTTTGTTAGCTGATCGAGAATTGAAAAAGAAAATAATCACATGTTCATTTTGTAGGCAGCCAATTGTCAAAACTTTCCGGCCTCGGATTGCGAATTTTTGAAAAAGTAGGAATTCTCATAGGATCAAACATTTTAACCATACAGGAAAAGGCATAGAAAACGAGAAAAATATAGGATGTTGAAAATTTGTTTTTTAGATTCAAATTACATGTTGCCTTAACCTCTTTTTGAATCAAATTAACACGAGTACTAAATTTTTGTCAAGATTTCATTTTGCTTTTTTCTGAAAATAAATGAAATGAGTCACACATAATTAAATGCAATCGAAATATGTTTATTTACATATTAATATATTAATACAAAGTAGTGTGTGTGTGCGGGTAATGCTTCGTATTACCTTTTGACTAACATCCATCTACACGCAAACCGAGTTTTAAACGTTTCAATAATGGCATTTGAGTTTTTTACCGTTTTTTACCTAAGAATTTTTTCCGAAAATATCAATGAAACATCGTTAGATGCAGAATTCTTGTCTCTACAAGATGGTCTATAAAGTTTTGACTTTCGTAGCTAAGAACAATTCGTACTTTTATACCGTTTCAAACTCACTGTACCGCTTATGAGCTCTCATAACGATGTATCGACTTTGTTCGTGTGTACAACGATTAGCTATAAAGAAAATGTTAACACTGATAAAAATCAAATCATTCTGATCATCTTAAGTTTCTCAAAATTTGTGGAGAAAAAACTGTCTTAGCGTTACTAAAACCGCCATGTTTGTTTTTTGTATTTTTTATCTAAGCAAAAATAGTTTAGAGAAAACGTTTTTACCGTTTTAAAGCCCGGTCAAAGCACTAAAAAACTGCCTCTAAAAGTGTTTCATTTGGAGTAACAGTTTTACAAGAAATTGCAGTTTTATTAGAGACCCTGCAGAAAAATGGTCCGTTTAGTGTCACAGCATTTCGCAACCAAAACTCCTCTCTACCGGCTCGAGACTTTATCCAAAAATGGTCATCTTTATGGCATACACATAGCACGACAAGTTACATCAAATGATGTTCGAACGAACTTTCTAACTATCATAGTTTCCCAGATAATTCAAAACAAAAATGTGCTAAAAAGTCAAATCATTGCGCTTGAATAATATTATATATATATGTGCATGTAATAAAGAGTAATAAAAACTTTTGAAAGACAAAGAAGCATTTATAAAGACTATTCTACTTTATTTGAATGTCTTTCACTTAAAATAGTCATGTATTTTTTTTTAATCGGTTTGATAGCGTAAAAAGATATTGTACTTAAATAGATGCCCCTGTAAAACATTCGAAGAATATAATAGAATCACTAAATAACGAATCGATTTGTTTAAAAAACACGAAAATGTTACTTAAAAAAGCTTTTTTTTAGCAATATTCTATTTTTTTCAATTTTTATAGAAAATATAGAACAATTGATTGAAATATAGGAGTAAAAATAGGATTTGTTTTTGAAATATAGGAAATATAAGACGAATCCTAGAGCAGGAGTGAAAACATGATAAAATAGGAATTAAAAAAAAATATATTTAAGAATATTTACTTATTTATTTTCGCCACTTAAGCGCAAACGGTATGAAGTGAAAGAAACAGCGAATAAATATGAAAAATCAATTACATCATTTTTATTTCTAATTCCACTTGTTAAAGCATTTCCCTCAAGAAAATAACGACTTCTGCTTGAATTTACTACATCTTCAAGGATAGTGACTGGTATAGACATCTATCTATCTATCTATACATATATATATATATATATTCGTTCTTTTCCATTTCTCCTTAAGATGTATAATTTTGTTGGGGTAATCCATTTCTGCTGAAATTGGAACAATTTCCCTATCGATTGGTCCTATTGTCCACTGCTGAGAGTATCTTCTGGTGTAGGTGAAGGTGGTAGCATGACATTCAAATCTTTCCAACCATGATCCTTTTCTTGAACTCTGTTGAATCTGAAACAGGTTGTATCGAATAGAGAGCTTTATTGTCTATCAAATAGTGACATTGTCTATGAGTGTCATCTGAAAAAAATACGGTTTACTCGAGAAATATTCATTTTCCTGCTTTCACTGATGCTACAAAACATGCAATTTCAGATCATGTTTTATTTTTCACCTGTCTGGGTGCCTCACCAGTTCTATTATAGATGTAGATTTGTATTCTCTATCGAATAGTACAACTGGGGATGTGGGTGTGGGTTTACTTGTGGATTTGGGTGTATTTATTACTTTTTAATACACACCCACACCCAAAAGCAAATATTGAGACTAGCAACTTGAAGTTGTCTTTTCGTCAAGAGAGCAGCCAGTCTATTTTCAATTGAATACGAAAGAAAATACTCGGATTGTAAATATGAAAGTAAAAGTAGAAAATACAAATGTGCGGTATCAACCGAAAATCAAAGCATTGTTCATGAAAGTAGTGCGATAATCTTATTTTGCTTGTCCCCAGACTGCTCTTCGTAACAGCCACATTCTATAATTTTTTTCTGGTCGTTGAAACTGATCGACGGATACATTTCTGATACAATTGTTGAGTACCACCTCTAGAGCCAGGCGTCATCAGCCAAATGAGAATCGCCGACTTTAATAGCCAGAACAGCAAGTATGGATATAAAAAACCATCAAATAAATATTCAAAAAGGTGAAGAAATGCGTATATAACCCAATAGATCAACCAAAAGGTGTCTTCGTTGGTGCTATTGGATTCCACGCGCAACAGTGATGCGTACACAGGGTAAAAGAGACCAATCACGTAGTTGCAAATAAAATACCTGCCAAATCCAAATAGAAGGCAGACTGCGAGAAGTACACCAAGAGAACCAAGCGTTAGGTTTTCACGTGTTAGTTGTGTCCTATTTTCAGCAAGAGCCAAGTAAGACGAAACAGGGCTGTCGTAGAGTATTGATCTGATTTGGTTCTGGATTTCTAGAATATTAATTCTATAAAATTTAGGGTGTGAGGTGAGGATGGGCTTGCGGACGTGGTGTCTGTATATCACTTCACAGTGCTGTGCAGACTCCCACTCTAAACATATATTTTCTATTTTGATACTCTTACTTCGCATGTTCTTGTCGATAATTCATAGCCGAGTATGATGAATGATCAATCGAACCGTCACATGTCGCTAAAAATCGATCGAAATGCAAACATCTACCGTTTAAGAAAAAAATGCTTTCCCTAGATCTCTGAAAGACCAACTACAGATATTAAAAGTATGTTTATTGGAATCTGCATAAATTTTTACCAAATACCCACTATGTTTTGCTTGGCTTCAAGTAAAAGTAAACATTTTATTTAGAAATTATTTTCCAGTTTGTCGCACCGTCCAAGTAAAGTCGACTTTTTTCGACAAAGAGAAGAAAAGAGAAAAAACCTGAGCAGCTATGTATGTAGTGGTATGACGAGTGAAATGAGTTGACATTTTTTTCTATAATACTTGAGAAGAAAACGTCGATAGGTTTACAACATTGATTGATACACATTTCACTGAACGTGATTCGAACAGCCGCCACCAATATAGTTGTTGGTCTAGAGCAGATTTAGTAACTTGCTCTTACTCAGACTTTTATACTGAAGCTGAGAGTGTAGTTCCCGGAAAATAAAAAATTTGAAAACTTTGCACGCTTTAAAGGTACGTTTTGTCAATAAAAGGCACCTTCATAGTATTTCGTAACTTTTACCTCGAAGAAAGCATTTTCTAATGCAGAAAAGTGTACTTCCGTAATCCGCGGTTCGAACTCAAACAACTGATGGAGAAAAATAAACAAAAAGAATATTACTCGAATCTTGGAGTACCTGATGGTGTGTGTGTGGGTGTGCTTGTGGTGTGGATATAACCCTGCTAATAGCGGACATCGACCCACAAGCGCGCTCACCCACAGCCGCAGTCATTTTCTCACCAAACAGTGTACTCTTTTCGACCACATCGAAAGATGGAACAACGTATCCAGTTTGTTGTTGTGCTTGCATCTGTTCTTGTTGCACTTTAATTTGTTCTTGTACCGGATGAATATTCTCCTGAATAAGTGTGTCACGAATTCCGACTGGAGTGTTGAGGTAGTCGAAGACTAAGTTATCAAGGGTTGCTTGGTGGCTGATTCCTTGCTTACGTAGTATAGACTCGATTTGTAGTCTGGATGCGTCATCATTTCTTATTTCACCATCGGCTAACGGTGTTTTCCCATGGAATTCTTTGGGTTTATGGGCTGTGACAGTTTGAGTACCCTTACGTTGTTTCTCGTTCGCTGCCCACAATGCAGCCATTTTCTCACTGAACGACCTGTCTTTTGGATTCAGTTTCTTGGTTTCATGATACGGTTCGTGTATCGGCAATTTTGTGAGGAATAATTCTTCGTCATCAGAACTGAATAATATGTTTTCAGTAGATTCGCCCTTTTCATAATGGTGCATTAACGTCCATCGAGCGGCCATCTTGCTCTCAAATGATTCCTCGAAAGATATTAGGAGTTGGCGAATGATTTAAGAATTTTAATACTTACTTTCTTTGCCATTTAATGTTCAATAGAATATGTGTCTACAAGAAGTATATCCTTTTCCGTAGAAATAACTTGAGATACACTACCGGCCAAGAGCATCCCTCTTAGATCTAAGCCCCTATATGTGCTGTACTTAGGAAAACTAGTATGCACACAGTTCTCAATCAATGCTGATCAGTGGGACAACCCGCACCACGATTGCGTGAGTTATAAGAAAGTTATAATACACTTTTTTTCAGCATTGTGGATTTTATAACTTTGGAGCAGAAAGACATTATTGCATCGTGATTTATTCCATTTTATAGCTCTTCACTTTGGCTATCCATGGTAAAATTTTCGTTGAAATTCAGTGAGCCCTTGTGAAACTGGAATCATTTTACTGGAAGTATTGATGCATGATATAACCAACCTACGTCATTGCGTACTTCATGATTCAGTGATAGTTTAGCCGATCAACTTAAAACTTGTAGCACACATTCTCCCAAAGCTCATGATAATCCCTAAAAGTTTGGGGTGTACGACCAATTTGATTTCTGATTGAATTCTAGAGAAAAAAGGTCACTTTCACCGCAGTAACAGCACATGAGTACTAAAACACCATCAACGAAAACTAAAACCAATAATTAACACGCCTAGCACCCACATTCCAAAAAGGCCATAAATTCTCCCACAATCAAAATCAGGAACAACGGTAAAAGGCGAACTGATCCTCAACTTCAAATGATGCCACATCATTTGTACATCAAATAACACTCACCGGAACAACTTATCCCCAAACTACTATTATGATACGGTACGTTTCAACTCTACAATATCTATGTCACACCCGATACGCGTTTTCTGGTAGATGGGGCACTTAGATTTACTTAGGGCAGTTCTAAATTCTAGAATGAATACCTCCCAGTCGATACCTTTTTTCTGGGAGGTGGGGACTTATGGGAGTTTAAGGGATTTCTGATTTCTACAATGTTTATGTCCAACCCTATACCCTTTTTCTGGGAGGTAGGGGGACTTAGGGTGACTCGGCCGATTCCCGAATTCTGGAATATGTTTGTCGCAAAATATGTGTTTCCAGGGGCATACGTATTTCAGAATTCAGGTCTCCCCCTATTCCCCATAATCCCCGGTGAAGGAAAAAATGTATATGGTGGGACAGACGCATTCTATAACTCCAAATTCCCCACGTCCGCTTAGTTCCCACCCCCCCTCCCGAGAAAAAGGATATATGGTGGGGCATACACATTCTAGAATGCAGAAATCCCCCTTAATCCCCGCACCTCCGAGGAAAAAGGTATAGGCTGAGGCATACACATTTGAAAACTGAGAAGTACCTCAAGCCATTCTATGTCACCCCACCTCCCACAAAAATGGGATATGGTGGGACGTAGGCATTTCAGGATTCAAAAGTGCCCAAGTTCCGCTATAGTGTGGGCCAGGTAGGGAGAGAGGAATGTGATTTGTATTATGAACTTTTAGATATTGAGAGATTGGGTTGGTTTTGGCAATTCATTTCGTAAACTGTTTCTTTTGGACTGCAAATTTTTTATTAGCCAGAAATTCAGTTTGAAATCAGATGGGGGTGATGGTGTGGGTGTGAGTATAATTTTAGAGAAGATAGACAACCACACCTTCAAGATTTAGAACAAAATGTACCATATTTCAGGAGATTTTTTTTTTCTGTTGGTGTGGGTGGGAGAGTCCGTCTGGTTCAGGAATTTTGGACCCGGACCCAGTGGCATCGTGCATAGGATATTGAATAAAATATCTTAATCAGAATTGCATACTCGAGGTCTCTCAGAACAAGAAGTGTTTTTGTCTAGCATAAAGAGCAGTTAACACGAAAAATATCTACAGCTAATGATGAACAAGATTTAGTTATTGATAACAAAAACAATTCTTTATCGTCCACAATGATCAAAAGAACAAAAAAAATAGTGACAGTGACAATGACAGTGATTATTCTTCGAATGATATTGATAACAGGGCTGATAAACCTCCCGATTTAGCCAGGAGAATCCTGGCTTTTAGACTCTTCTCCTGGTTAAAAAATCGCCTGGTACCAAAAGCTGTGTTTTAAGGTTTACTTCTGGTTTTATATTTTTTTTCATTTTGAAGATTAATGACATTTTGAATCACTAATGTAAGACAAGTCAAGAAAAAGAAAAGAGAGAAACAATGAAGAGAAGTATCACTATTTGATGAATGAAGTCATTAATAAAAAATGCTGGTTTCATTGATGTATCTAAACTAAAATTACTACGTTCATAAAATAATCCTATTCTAAGAACTTATATACTGTAGATAAAGAAACTTCGGAAATTTATCGAATTTTTTGTAGGGAAATAGAGAGGATCGGTGAAGTATCAAATTCATTAGACGAAAATCTTGTATCATAACCTTTACTACTGTGTAAGAAAAACGTGTCATATTGAACCTTTTCTCAGTACCTTTTTCAGAACCTTTTTAAAGTTCTAGCCAAAAAGTCTTGAACCTAAAAAAAAGGTTCTGAAAACGGTACCCATATCTAGAACCTTAAAGGTTCCTATATGTCATACTTGAAACTTGAATTTAACTGAAATTTCAACTTTCAACTTACAACTTTCAGTTTTCAAGCTTCAAGTTTCAATCTCACTGAATGCGATTTTAGGTACGCTATATCTCAAGAAGAATTCATTCAACGCTGCTAAAATTTTCCATGGATTTATAAACCAGTACGATCTACCTACTCAAGAAATCTCAACTCGAAAGACTGAATTCTTGATCATCTATCGATCGCAACAACGCAGGAAAAAACACTTTTCCTCTAATATTTGACAGCTGATATCTCTGCCTAAAAGACATTACATGGCTGAAATTTGTTTCTGAAACACCTTTTGACGAGACATTCATATATTGGCAGCTCCAGCTTATCATAGCGAAATTTTCAGTCGCGATACGTTAGGGGAAAATCAATTTTTTTTTAAAACCTCGACTTTAATAGATGACATTCTAGATTAGGGGCACTTGAATTTCATCCCGAGCTCTTGCCTGAAAAATCACACATGTATTTTGCATATGCACATTCAGTTCCACTGAAACTATCACGAAGATGTTTGCAGCAACTACTTCTAAATCACAAAGCTCACACTTTGAGCCACCCTCTTACACAAATTTCAACCCACAGGATCACCCAGAATGTGGATGCCGAGAAGGAACGAAACCCTCGTCTACACACACACACACACACACAATATATCTCAAATATGGGTGCGAAGATAGGCGGAAACCCTCGTCTTTATACGCACATGCATCTCTCATTCTCGATTTTTTATTGTAAGGTTTAACGCTCTGAAGGGATAGTCTTGGGAAATTTAAAAGGTTAATTTTAAAAATTCTGAAAGTAGGTCGTGACTATGTGAAGCAAGACACGGGGGAAATCACGGTTCACTATTTACACGGAATGAAAATCAAATAGAATACCATAACAACGGATGGAATACCACAAGCACATGTGGTTTCTGTCATTGTGGAGTGGCGATCGGAAGACTGATCTTTCTATTCAATAGGATTATGATTGGTTACGATCTTATCTCTGTATGTTTTTCAGTGTACGCTTGCAGATAGGCTACATCTGAGTGCAAAATGGAAGGTGCTACTTTATGGGTGTTTTGGAAAGTCTGGTATTGGGCCATAAACTCAGTGTGAGTTATTCGAAAAAGCAGTAAATTGGTAAAAACACTAACGTCATCGTGCTTTGTGCAGAAATAACTACACTTAAAAGGTTTTTTTTGCGCTGAATAAGGCTATTATCATCACAAAACTGTGCTTAAGCAGGCAAATATTTGTCTCGAATTGATTTGACTATAATTATGTCGGATTTATGATGAAATCTAATGGACCAATAGCACCATTTTATTTCTCATCTGGAACTTCACTCAGTAGATGTCGTTTAAGACTTCTAGGGGCTATTTCTGCCTGTGAATGTGAAATACAAGATCATTTTTTGTCGTCGCTCAGCCCAAAAAACGAATTTAACTGAAACGAATTTCAATAAGTACCAAGGTATTTATGAAGTGAAATTGTTGATTTGAGTTTCTTTTTTTAGGCAAGATAACTCGGGATGAAATATAAATGTCGCGAATCAAGAACATCAATTCGCAAAATCGGCTTTCGCCCAAAGTGCCGCGGCCCAATATTTTGCTAAAATAAGCTGAAACTATCAATATACCAATGTGCCGTCAAGAAGTGTTTTAGAAACAAATTTCGGACCTGTAGTGTTTTCCAGTCAGGAGATATGAACTGCCAATATTAGCAAAAAAGTGATTTTTTTTCTCCAATGGTGCGATCCATAAAATGCCAAGAATGCAATTGTTCGAGCTGAAATCTGTTGTGTGTAGACCTTATTGGTATATAAATCCATAGAAAATTGCAGCTAGATTGAATGAATCCTTCTTCAGATATAGCGCACCCAAAGTCGTATTTTCTCACATTGAACTTTGAAAGTTGAAAGTTGAAAACTGAAACTTGAAACTTGAAACTTGAAACTTGAAACTTGAAGAGGAAGTTTTCAATTAAATTCAAGTTTCAAGTATGACACTACTGGAAAAGACAGACTTTAAGTACAAAAAGTAACCCCCCCCCCCTCCTATAATAGAAGCCCTCCCCCTATTAGAAGCTTGAGGGTGTGAGAGTGGGTGAGAGTGTGGATGAGTTCAGTGAGATGCTGTGATCGTGATCTTAACCTTTCTCATGAGTCTCAATTCAATTCGAAAATAAATAGATCTATGCTTCAACGAAAACAAACAAATCTGCTAGTCTGAACTCTTGCTTTTCAGCAATTGATGTTATTCGAAAATTTCCGTTTAAAAACTAAATACTATGGAAGCTTAAATTCAAAATTAATTAATTAAGTAAATGCAAGATTAAATTGTTCCATCCGCACGTTTTCTGTTCATTCATTGAAATATTAAAGCACTCTTCAGAACTCCGCATTTACAACAAAAACGCTAGAAAAAAAAGTATAATAGCGAAACAATTTTTATCATATCTGCAAGATTATAATAAACGACACTAAAACTAAAATGTCTTCAATAATATTTCACAGAAAAGAAAAAAAATTTCTATTAAAAGAAACTTTAAAATGATTTTTTCTTTACTGGATTCCATATCCCATATTGTGTGTTTAATTAATTGATTTATCATACTCTGTAAGCAGATTATCGCATACGCTCATATAAATAATTAATCAAATGGATGTATTATTTCATATCCATTTTGATTTGACATCAATCATTATAATTCATATATTTATTTTATCTGACTTGAGGGTGTTGGTGTGGACTATATTTACCCACACCCACACCCTTATTTTCGCCAGCCGTCACTTCTTCATCTTTCATCTGATCATTGACAGGTGACTCGTCAAACAGTTCGTCATCGTTGACTAATAAATCTACTTTAATTGGGCCAATAGAGCCATCATCCATCGAATCAGTTTCATCTGAAGTGTCATCCGTCACCTCGTCATCATTGCATTTTTTATTCGTGTATTCTTTCATCTCTTCACCTTCATCATCAACCTTGTCAATAACAGCAGCTGTCACTTCAGGATAACTGTCGATTGTTTGCAAGAATTCGCAGAATTCTGATACTGCTATTCACCTTTTATACAGTATGCGACATTTTGTGCAAATATAAGCATTCGTTGACAACAAATTCGGAAACAAATGAATAGCAATGAAAAGTCGAATGGATCTTCCTTTCACAGGATGTCGGCTACTAGCTGTTAGACGAACATTATATAGCACGCGCAAACATAATACTTTTTCGACTCCATCTTTTTTAAATGAAATAATGATCGATATAAACTGTCCATTTTCTGATCTATTTTCTCTCTACTTCAAAAATAAATTCTAAGAATCTCTCTCCCAAAAGAATGTATCTTTTTCACATGTCTCTTCCTGTGAAAATAATTCTCTCCAAAGCTCTCTTCACCCGATATCGCCGCTCTGAATCATTCTCTCTCTGAATCTCTCTCTACAGTAGAAATGCATAATCCCAATTACTTTCGCTATTCAGCACTGCATTGAACCCTCGTAGTGTTTCTTCCATTATCCGTAGCATTTTCCAACTTTCCCTAACCAGAGAAAAATTCAATTCACAACCACTACACTCTAAACAATATGTGCATTCACCTCATGCTAAGAAATCGTGACAGTCCCATACTTAATATTTCAATCTGTGCTTCAGATTTTCACATCTATTCGCTTTTCCAAATCACTGTCAAGTCTGTAGTCCCTCAAAATCTCCGAGTGCAGCGAGCTTTTCTTTTCATTTTTAATCATTTTCTACCCTTCAAACAGCTTTACCTGCGCAAATAACATGGCGATGTTATCTTCTAAAATAGTTGACATCTTATGTACCATACTGTTGTATCTATTGGCTTTTCTAATAGAACTAGAACAGTCTGCACCTATGAAATCCCCGAGCTGAAAATATCCTCTTTATACACTTGGAATTCGTTGTGAACCTATGAGCCGGATGGTAAGGTCCGTACTTCTAGTGTCTGAGTTACTGATGTCAAGGAAAGTTCTCAGAATATGATCTTAAACGTGTCAGAATCGTCAATTCTCACCCAGAACAATATGAAATTTAATTTTAGAAAGTGTCCTGATGTAATTTTTGTTTAGGGCCGTTTTAAGTATGAACCGCCCCCCCCCCCTTTAGTAAGAAAATCGAATAAACCAACTTTCTAAGCATATAATTGCCATGTAATGAAGCACATTTTATCCACAATTTCATTTCAAACTACAATTTATATTATTCTCAGGCACCGACAGCAATCCAAACCGAAATTTATATTTGTTTTCAACACATAGACTTACGTATGAATATTTTGTTCATACATTTGCACATCTATAGAGATTGCTGACAAATTTTATACGAAGGTATATCAAGAAATATTGCAAGTTATAGCTCTACTATTGACATATAGTAAATATGAGAAGTAAAATCATCGAACAGTACAGTTTATATTTTATCGAGTGTGGTTTCATCTAAATTATGTTGTTCGAAACGCTTTTTACAAAAATCATATTGATGCAATTTTTTGAGCAAGCGTTTAAGTAGTGGTAAAATTGCTAGTTTGAATAGAAGAAATGCGATAGCACAAAATTCAAGACACATGGTAGAAAAAAGTATATCTTTGAAAATAGCTTCGCCTTTTCGTGTGATCGGTTGTTGAATATTCATAATGAAAAATGAAGTTTCTTTCAATTTGACTTCAACTATATGTTGAATAGTTAAGTAACGAGTATAAGAACCATACTGGTCATAACTCATTTTGTCACTGGTGCCTTCTGCGATAAACCTTGGTATCCAAACACCACTGTAAGTTGTTTGTCCACCTTCATCTAGACTTTCTGTTCGATTGACCGCTTTGATTAGTTCAATGGTGACACGAACGAATTTTCCTAGGGTATCATTTGTATTGGAAAGAATTTGGCAAAAGATCAATGGTTGAGCCGTATAGAATGTATCATTGCTCAGTGTTTTGGGGGCTGTTAGGCAAAGACGAGCACCACCAATGTAACAGTTGCCTGAATATTAGAAAAAAGAAGCGTGATTGTCATTTCATTTGTTATAGTCTGAATGTAGACGAAAGATTGAGTGGGTATCTAAAACGTCTGCCATAGACAGGTATTTCAATAGTTCTTTAACAATTTAAATGGTTTAGGCAAGCTTTTCATCATTTTATAGGACACTGCCTGAAGGTTTAGTTCGTATGACTTTATTCAAGTCCACTTATTAAAAGAAGTACATTCAACTCAAGTATTAATGACAACTCTTTTCAAATATAAAGAAAGTTGTATGGAGTACTCTCGACGAAAGAAGCCAAATGACACATTAAGTTCGACGACTATAGAAATTTGACTACTTAAAGAAATATTTGAATTATAACTTATAAGGTGCCCCCCGAGAACAAAAATTGAGCAAAATTTTTTCACCCCTTGTATTTTTACATGGCTGGATAGAGCTTGACGAGACGATCACAAATATCACCTTTAAAACATTTTTTCAGAAGTTTTGTCCGAAACAATTTCAAAATACTAAAAAACTGACTATTCGCTATTTTTTCAAGAAAAATCAGGTTCTTACTTATTTATAGTAAAGAAAAACTATTGGCACGGACTCATTCGTACTTAACACTAAGAACTCAGTAGATCTATGTAGATTTATAACTATTTCAACCCTTTAGCCACGTTCAATACAGCCGATTCTATATATGAGTCGGCATAATATCACTTTGCTCTTCCAAACCTATCGAGTTTTTCTTTTCTAAACATTTCTTTAACTTTCATAGCTCATTCTAACCGTCAAATCAATGCCAATAAAACTTCGCATGCATTTCGGAAAATATTGTTTCATCGTTTAGAAAATTCATTTTTTCTAAATTGTATGCAGCAGATCGATAAGTTTTCCTTGTTTTTACTGATTGTGGTTCATAAATAGGTTATACTGAAAAATAAGTATGTTATTCAGACTCAGCATCAAAAACTATATCGAGCAGTATGTTTTTTTTATAAAGAATTATTTTTCATCCAAAATTGGACCTGNATAAATACGCCATACTGAAAAATGAGTATTTTATTCAGACCCAGCATCAAAAACTACATCTAGCAGTATATTGTCTATCATAATTTTTATGCTATCGAAATTTTTTTCCTAGTTCATCTCAGTCTCTAAAACTGTCACTTTTAAGCTGAGATCCCGTACAGGTTCAATTTTGGATGAAAAATATTTTTTTATAAAAATTATACTGCTAGATGTAGTTTTTGATGCTGGGTCTGAATAAAATACTCATTTTTCAGTATGGCGTATTTATAACACACAAATTTGTAGAAATAAGGAAAATGTCCCGACCTGTTGCATACCGCTTAGAAAAAATGAATTTTCTAAACGCCGAAACAATATTTTTCGAAACGCATGCAAACTTTTATTGGCATTGATTTGGCGGTTAGAATGAGCTATGAAAGTTGAAGAAATATTTATAAAAAATAAGTTGATAGGTTTGGAAGAGCAAGGTGATATTTTGTCGACTCATATATAGAATCGGCCGTATTGAGCGTGGCTAAAGGGTTGAAATAGTTATAAATCTACATATATCTGTTGAGTTCTTGGTGTTAAGTACGAATGAGTCCGTTTCAATAATTTTTCTTTACTAAAAATGAGTAAAAACTTGATTCCTCGTGAAAAAATAGCGACTCGTCAGTTTTTTAGTATTTTAAACTTTTCTCGGACAAAACTTACTCAAAGAATATTTGAAAGGTGAATATTTGCGATCGTCTCGTCAAGCTCCATCTAGTCATGTAAAATATAACGGATGAAAAGATTTTGCTCGGCGTTTGCCCTGGGTGCAGCTTACATTTTTATTAAATGTAAAAGAAAACAAAAAAAAACATTTAAATCAAGTGGAAATATTTTATACAGTCAAATTTATTTCATGTGAAATAAATTGACAAATGTTCATATAAAATGACAAGCAGCTGCTAATATATATATATATTGACGTCAGCTTCAACTGACGCCAAACATAAGAAAAATATCAGATATCATTTTGATAGTAATCAGCAAACGATAACAGTTGTCGGTATAAATAACAAGAACTTACAATGTTGATAAATATGGATAATATTAAAATAATACAATAAAAAAAAATTTTTTAAATATATATATATATGTTTTTTTTGCTGTTATGTTATTGTTATTGGTATTTTTCAATATAAATACCCATCGCATGAAGTATATCAATAATCGTTTTGTAATCGAAAGAAAATAATTAACTCTTGACATTTCCTCCTTTCAAATAAGTACTCGTTGCTTGCTCTCACAGAAGCCTTTTCTTGAGTGACTAATATTAATTGTAGAAATAGGATGAAAAAATATGCCTGTTTATATGTCTTATGAGAATGCGAACGAAGAATATTATCTTGTGTATACTTTTTTGCTCTCTCAAGGTAATGTCTTTTCTATGATTATCGTGTGCAAACAATACACAAAGATTAAATCGACCAAAATATCAATCACTTCCTCTAGTTGCTCCTTTCTCGACGTATATCATTCGTGCAAAGGGACATCGTAAAAATGAGAATCCTCGAACACGATATGATATATTGATGAATTGAAGACTAGGTGAACTATTGTAATAGGAACTAGACTTCATCAATCGCTACAATTTAGCCCCCCTCTCTCTCTCTATTGGTAGAATATACGTTTTTTCTTTTGTTATTTGTTGGGTGTTTGATTATGATCAAAAAGAAGCATTGAGACTACAAGGAACGGAGCGTGATAAAAGCAGAAATTAATAAATATTTCCTCTGTTCCCTGTCTTCTTATTTTCATTCTATCACACTTTCTTTCATATTCCTGCACAAGTCTAGCTTTTCGAACTAGAACCTAAAACTCTTACTCGTCTATTTATGTTAGATTACGTTTTTCATTCACATGCTTACACGCGGAAATAATTTTAACTTCGCTTCAGGTATGAAATATATATATGCATCGGAAAAGCATAGCATCAAAAGGACTTGACTCGTTCCAAAATGATTTTACATTTGAATTTTCTTTCAAATTAGATTAGGCAAAATTTCAACGTTAGAAAAAATACTATTGAGTTAATGTAGCCACCTCCCTATGGTAAAATATCAAATATTTTCCTTTCTATTTCACTAAAACACTATGGCAATAAGTTTTAAGTTTCGTTTATAAAGTTTTAGAAACAAATACTAATCGTTATTTTACAATGTAGAAGTTGTGCTATCAATATTTTCGCATTTAAAAATAATGTTTAAAAAAAAGAAAATATAAGGTACAACATACTATTATGAATCGACTCTTCACAGAAAATTTTGGAATCAAAATCTTATTTTCTTTTCTTTTCAAAGTATGTCTATTGGTAAGAGAGAAGTATCCACGCGTATTCCACCACATCTTTTTAATATCATGTAAGATGATATTTTTCGAATTTGTTTTTAGTTCTTTCGAAATAGATATATATACAACGATTATTTAATTATCATCCAATCGATTAATTTATAGGGTATTATAGAGATCAACAATAATATATGAGACCGCTTCAGAATGATTGTAGGTATGTGAACCTGTTTATGGCACAATAAAATAAATGTTACAAAAAAAAAATGATTGTAGGTACTACTATAATATAAGCTAGTAACTCTATGATCCATTAATATCTATAACAATCGTTTGAAAGCACTCGTAGAGGAGTAGATCGTATTAGGAATAACAAACTTGACACTTTACAAAGCTTCATCTGCAGGCTAGATTCAATTGCAGAAATCCTGTCTTTAGGCTTAAATATGTAGTAAGTATGTATACATAGGCAGTCTTAATTTCCTTGTTCAAATTGAATCTTATTAATATAAATAGCTAAAATTTCTATGCAAATAAAATAGCACGATTCTTGATATTCATTATTATCTAACGTATGTGATCTATTGTTCTTCTACTGAATACGCAGACATATGTCTGTACGATGCGCAATAATTCATAAATCATACGTACATGATTAGTAATCAGGTTTTTGTTTCGTTGTTATTAACCATTAACATCTAAACATGGAACAAAAATAATAATAATAATAATAACAGTAATAGTAATAGTAATAGTAATAATAATAAAAATAATAGGACAAAGGGGAATAGAAAAGACAAAGAAGAGAAAAATGCATTGGTAACTATTTCTGAGAGCCTCCCCTGATATGAAATCATGCAAATGACTATGCAATGCATATGAATAAACATGTCTGTCATTCGATCAGAGGTCAAATTACTGCATTTAAAAGAACAGATCTTAATATTGCTCGTTGACATTCATCATAAATTATTTCTTCATAGACCTTTTTTCATTCTGTATTTGAGAAAATAAAACTCTTTTCTATTATCTTTCTTTAAACTTTATTGATCGACTCAATCCATCATAGTCATATCTACCATTGTAAATGGTGGTAGTTTTATGTCTGTTTCTAGATTTTTCTTAAATTATTATATATAGAGATACCTGAGACGTGTAAGCTTTTCTATTATACATTTGTACGGATGAATGACATGCGTTGGTACGTATATGATGCTGTTATTCCGTATCTTTCATACCAAAAACAATCGCCTCGACAAAGATAAGAAACACTAAGAAGGCTCTGAAACAACCACTGATACTGTCGTATTGATTGTTTTCTTTTATTGTCTTTGCACTTCTTCATCTTTTTATTATCAACAACATTTAAATAGAAAAATTATGGGTGTTGCTATGGTGATCAGCGCACGATTTGCACCACGTAAGTGATTTCATTTTTATACAAAAGCGAAAAAATAGACGAGTTGCTTCAAAAATTGAACTAATAAAATAAGAAAAAGAAGATAATCATGCTTGAACATGCACACACTGCCCAGAAGTTTTATTTTTCGTAATGTAATGTATATAGGAAGTTCATCAGTTATTTCGATGTTGAACAAACTAAATTTCTTTCTTAATATATATATATATATATATATGATTTGTTGATGATGATGCCCCTAAGATACATCCGATATTAAATCATAACACGCGCATTGACCTTTATTTTATTTCATTATTTATTGGCATTTAGGATGATTTCTTGTTTATATAACTTTTATTAATCAATGCTCTTTTTCTTACTTGTCTTAATTGCATAGTAAATCGTAAATAATTTTCTTTTTCATTGAGAGTATCGTCGTGTAAAAATAAAGAAAAGCAAAATTCTTTTACATGAATACTTTATAATTACAGTCAAAACAAGACTAAGATTTTCCTGATAAGAAAAACAAAAAAAAGAACGATTTGGTTCTTTTGCATTTCATAAGCAATCTCCTTTCAGTAGGAATATATATATATATATCATGAAATATATGTTATTGTTCCGTCTAGGCATCCGAGTAGTCTTAATAATAAGGATTCTTCGAGCAGATTATAAAAAAAGAAATCGATTTATGTAGATGACTAAATCTTCTATGTCGTCTTGCCTGAAATAATGAATAGATGCAACAAAAGAAAAGAAAACAAAAAAACTAAGAAAATTATTTTATATGTATATATTTATGTTTGTTTATGTCCTTTATTAAGATATGATGTTGTTTATAATATGTATTTTGCATGTTTTCAGAGAAGAATTTCATTGATTGTTTGATGTTGGACAGAAACAAGGTCTAATTAAGCATGTCAAATTATCTATCTTTTGCGTGGTATTTCCATTTGTCAGTTACTCTTTAGAAATTTCGTCTTCTGTCAAAGAAAAGAAAGTCAAATGTCAATATTTCATGTGTAGATTAGTAAGTTTCCTTTTTGTTGCATGTCAAGTACATATCACAGTGATGTCGTGTATATCAATATGACAAGTCTCTTGCTAGTATTTTTACATGAAAAAATGTGTCCCTTTTGGATACTTGATTGGCCAGTTGTTTAGCTGTCAATTATGGAAACCACATTTTTAGTATTTCGGATCGGTAGCTAAACGATAGACGAATGATGATATATGAGCATTTTAAAAAGTAACAGTAACAGTTTAAAAATAATGATGATCTATCTATTTATTGATCTATCGATATATATATATATATTAGCTTATTTCATCACCTCGCTTTAACAGTATCAATAAAGTGAAGATAATAAGTATGTGCACAATCATTCTTATGTGACATTTTATAGAATAGCATGCATATATTATATAAATATCTTTACTGACAAGAAAGATTCCCATGACATGACTAGTGTATAATATCATGAGTTTTCTCGCAATTTTTTTCTTTTTCTAACATACACAATCTAGTCTCGACTCTTCCCGTCAATCATAAATCTTTTTAGTGTTGAGAGCGAGCGAGCGAGATAGCAAAACTGAATGAAGAATGTGCGCAGCTAAGAACGACCACGGAAGAGCGAGAAAAATTTTTGCATCTGAAGAGGAAATCTATTTACTATACCATATTCTTTCTATTCGCCAGAAAGATAACAAAGCTAGATTTAGAGAAAGAATTGAAGAGAATCCTCTCCTATGTTCGATACTTCGACATATAGTCTGTCGATTCTGTCATTCTTATTCTTATTGAATACACAACCAGTTTACTTTATTCAACATTCATTATCATCAGAATTATGATCGAGGTTGAGCGTTTTTCCTTTTTTCTTCTTCTTCATTCTTCGCCTTCGTTTTTTTCTCTCAATGTAATATCGTGTACACGAGTAAACAGAGAGAGAGAGAGAGAAACACGCTTTTTTTGTTTGAGACAAAAAAGACTCTCAAAATGTCATTTTTCCATCCCCCCTCTCTCTCTCTCTCTACTCTATGTCTCGAAAAAAGCAAACGGTTTCTTCACGGACGACGACAAGCATAAAAACATGACATTCTACTCTCGCCTTTTCTTAAACGACATCAATGCCCACACCACCCACATTTTCTAAAATCTTCTTTTTTTCTCTTCATTTTCGTACAATGTGTTATGAATAATTGATTACCGACGACTATAACAAATTTCCCTATCTAGAAAAGACGATTATTTTAGATACAGAAGAAAAAAATAAGAAAAAGAACCAGAGAGAATCATAAGAAGAAATGGCACCATCATTATTTTGATCCATAGGAGAAGAGTCGATTAGCTATAACTTATTATTATATAAACATATACGTATATATATATATATATATATATTGTCTAAATTCTTGTTAACAATGATCTCGTACCAATTAGTATCGTAAAATTCATATGGATGATCGACGATGGACGAATATTCTTCGTCCGTCTGCTGTAAGTTCTTATTTATTTTTCTTATTTTTAGTTAGTTTTTATCTGATTCCTATATGTTTGAAGCTTAATTACTATTCGAAAATCTTCAGAGGCTTATATGTGTACGTGTCATCGAACTAATTGGCAATTTATTATGCGAGTAAATCTTTATGTATGCGTATATCTTTTATTAAAAAAGAGGAAAGAAGAAAAGAAAATCTGAAACGATAAAAATATGCATTTGAAAACTTATTAGGAAAGAACACATATTTAGATAGATTTTATGCATTTATTGTAATAAAAACAATCACAATCAATGTTTTTTTTTAAGTGCAAAGTATAGTATTTAGCATCACTCCTAAAAATCAGTTTCAACTGCATGCATACTTATCTCATCAGTAAAAAGCAGAAATGATATAGATACATATTGTCTCTATATAAACATTGACATAGTCATTATTATCAAGAGAAATGAACGAGGCTAATTTGTTCTAGCTGTGTATGATATAGAAACAAAGAACACGAGAGCAAATAATATTGATCTTATCGTTGAGATGAACTCATTATCATGAGAAAAAAGAAAGGTGATAAGATCACTGATTCATTGTTAATGTTATCAGGTTTAAAATTATAATCAGTTTCAGGCGAAAAAAAAAGAAGAAAAGAGCTATTGACAGCAAATTAGAAAATAAGTTTTTGCCTCTGTCTATTGTTTTTTTTTTGTAATAAGATATAAAAATAGGTTATGTTAATCATAAGCAGATGGCCATAGTGTAGATAATCATATGTAATCAGCATGTGCAATAATTTTATGCGAAAAATGATTTTTTTGTTAGTCACTTCAAAAGGGAAAATGCCAAAAACATCAAGTAAGAACATAAAATTCTCAGATGAATGTAATTTTGAAACTTTCCTTTGCCAGCTTTTATCAACTACCAAAAATAAAATAAAATAAAATCATATATTTAGATACCGATTATGACGATGATGGATTAGAAACACTCAAACGTTACAAACCACGTAGTCTTGATGAATTAGCAAGTCGAACAAAATTTAGTAAAAAAGAAATTCAACTTATTTATCAAGGCTTCAAACAAGAATGTCCATCCGGTATGAATAAGTTTTGTTTTTAAATCATTTTTTTGTGATGACAAAAATCTCTGTATTTTATCTTCTTAAAGGTATTGTTAATGAAGAAACATTTAAACATATTTATGGACAATTTTTCCCATTTGCTGATACGTCATCGTATGCACGTCTTGTTTTTGCAACATTTGATTTACGTTCGTCAGGTTGTGTAACATTTGAAGATTTTCTTATTTGTTTATCAACATTATGTCGTGGTTCAATTGAAGATCGACTTCGATGGATATTTACATTGTATGATACGAAAAAATCTGGGAAAATAACTAAAGATGTATGTCATAGACTCATTAAAAATAAAACAATAGCAACATTATTTTGTATTTTAATAGGACTTTCATGTTATTGTTTGTGCAGTTTATGCATTACTTGGAAATGTTGCAAGTCCCTGTTGTGATCTTGAAACGATTCGAGAACATACAACTACTGTCTTTCAAAGATTTGACAAATCACATCAAGGATATATTACAATGGAAGATTTCATGTCGTTTTGTTTGAACGTAAAAAAATACAAAATTAAGATATATACGGATAAAAGAATTGATTCTCTTTTTTTTCTTGTCAATTTTTAGGATACAAATATAATTCAATCAATTGATGTTCTACGAACAATAGTTTGATGATTTATCCATCGTTTTCAATATTCATTCCGTCGTTAATTCGTGCTTTTCTCTTTACTCTCCTTTCTCCATTATTTTGTTTAAACCTTCTAATATCTACGATCGAAAACAAAATTCTTTTCTCTTTTATTGATGTTGTAAATGCAAACATTGAAGAGATTTGTAGTTATTAAACAACAATGACTAATGCAATTTATTAGATGAGTCATAATAATATCATTATTATTATTATTATTATTATTATTTCTATATGACATCGGTGTGGTCGTGTGTATATCTGTATTTGTTTTTCTTTTCTACATCAGTTAAAAATATATACGTCAATTTATTTTGTTTGTTAATAAAAACAATAACTAAAAATGAATTTTTCCTCTGATCAATCATCATCGTCGTCGTCATCAATTTCTATCTATCACAATTCATATTTCTCATTTGAAGACGTTGAATATGTACTTCGACCTTTATTTCAAAGTTATTATGGTCGTGAAGGATTGCATTCGATTATTTCTAGTGTCAATCATACATGGTGTGTTTATGATCGACAAATAAGTCGATATGTTGGCTGTGCGTTAATAGAAACTCATGATACAGATAATGTTCTGTACGTTAAATTATTGGGTGTTAAAAAATCTAGCCAAGGTCAAGGCATTGGTACAAAATTATTGGAGGTAATCAAACGCTGGGCACGAAAACAAAATTATTTTGCTCTTCTTTTACATACACAAATAAATAATGATAAAGCTATTCAATTGTATGAAAAAGTTGGATTTGTAAAGCAATATTATTTAAAAGATTTTTTTCCGTCAAATGGACTTCTTTCACTTTTTCAATTCAGTGAGCCGGATGCATATCAAATGGTTTTATATTTATAATTAAAACTTTCTGTTTTGTAATTTTCTCAATAAAAAAAATTTCATTTGATTACTTGCGATTGATCATGGCCAACAACTCATAGAGACTAATATAATGCAATATAAGAACGTAAGGATTGTATCAATTTTACCGGTAGATGTTAAAAGAAAACCTTCTAGAAATAAAAAACAATGAAATAGAAGTAAAGTCCTTATTATTTCGAGTTCAACGCGATTGAAACTAATGATTTATTTTAATATTAATCTATCAAAAAGATAATGTTTTATTCGGGTCTTTTTCCATCCGTTGTCGAAATCACCTTGAGACTACAAGATGAATCAGAATAATGCACTGAAGCGTAAACAACGTTTGACTATTATGGCTATAACAATCTTTTTCTTTTATTGATGCTTTAAGCTAAACATAAATGGATATCCCAATAGTGCTTTCATTTTATGTAACACCCTTATCGGATTCAATAATTATTCATTCTATGGCCTTAAAAGAATATTTTTTAAAGTTAACATTAAATGTAGAAGTACTTTATCCAACACAAGTTCATGGAGGTCTTTTGCTATGTAAATCAAAACGAAGTAAATTCAAAATATTTAATTATTTTCTGTTTTTAATAAATTTTAAAATCTATATTAGCCGAAGAAAAAGATTTCTAATATGCGTCATGTACCTCCAAATGGATCAATAATTCGTTTAGTTCATTTGACTTATCCATTGTTTCACCAAATGAAATGTACAATTAGTGGACAAACACTACAATCCAATCATATAAGTTCATTACTACATCAATGCTTACCATTTCTACATGCCGCTGGTTATTATTTGACGAATATGTTCTTAGACTATTTATTTTTAACATTTTGTTTTTCTTTAAGATGGAAAGATTCATGTTAATGCGGACAAATCTGTTGTATTAGAAGGTCATATATTCATTTTAAATGCTATTCATTCATTTCTTCTTACTAAAACATCTATAAAAGAACGGTCGAGTAATTCGAATTTATCGGAATCAATTAATGTGTCAAGTAGATATTTGCAAGGGGGAAAAGGCGGATTTCGTACTCCTGGGACTTTCTTCGGATCCCTGGATTTTTTTGGGATCCCCAGAATTTTCACCGTTCTTCTAGCATTATAATGTTTCTTATTATACTGCAACACCCTCATCTTAGTCTTAGAGACTTAGATTAATCGAGGTTTTCATCATGCCAGAGGGTTAGAAATGTGAAATTAAATTATACGAAAAAAAAATTCCACCATCGTCAGAAGACTAGACACGTCATCGGCTTAGATGGATATCAAGTCAACTGGGACAGTAGAGCGGTTTAGTTTCTAATTGTTTTATTGAAGAAGAAAAGCGAAAAATAAATAAAAAAATAACAAAAAAACAACAAAAAAACAACAAAAAACCTAGAAGAAATAACAAAGATGTGTCTTATGATATTAATGTAATGTATCTTGTCTGTAGACTTTCAGTTATCTAGCGGCCCGCCTGTTGCACTCGTTTCTGCCGATCAGCTGATAGATCAGGCTTGTTGTCTGTTAAAAGCCAACAAGCTGTCTGCTTATGAATATATATTTTTTTGTCATCGATTTCGACACAAAATTACGAGTTAGTTAGTGACGGTGAAATCGTATCAGTGACTCTCATTCCATTAAACTGATGTTTACCACTTGATGAAATACCAGGTAAATCATTTTCATCTTCAGACGAGTCATCCCCTGACGTCGATGAAGAATTAACTTTAGTTTCAAGTTCCTTGTCTGATTCATCATTAGAAGAATAGCTTTCACCTTCATCATAAGTCACCTTTTTAAATTTTTTTCAAATTGAGTTCGTACATATGAACTCACTTCATTTAGCTATCATTGTTTTTTTTTCTTTTCTAAAGCGATATTAATATCAAGCTCCGATAGAAGTTTATATGCATCATTAAACGCTTGATGAATAGTCTTTTTAATAGTATCATTTGTAGGAAGACCAATAGTTATATTAGAGGCTGATTTTTTTGAAGCAGCAACTTTTCTGCGTCTTTTATTATGCTTCGGAAACTGTAATGGACAGTCCAGCTGACCAGATTCACTCTGGTTCTCTAAGTCCGTTAAAACGGAGAGCTTACCAGCTCGTTTGAGAAATTGATCAGTTGTAAAATTTACCACTGACGAGAAAGCTCCTGACATTGATCTAGTAAGTCGAAAAGTAGCTTCACATGGTTGTGAACTATAATTCGATATCGATAGAGCAGAGTCAGGCAACTTATGTTGGCACACAAGCAGACAAACTGCAAGCAAACTATGAGCATTAAGCTCAATAGAAAAAAGTGCAGGACCCGTAATGAACAAATTTTTTTTTCAACACGGTATCCTAAAATATCTTTTTCATCGATTATATGCGATCAATAATCGAAGTATTATGTTCTACATATGCGAAAATGACAGAACATAAAAGACGTAAATAAACTCGTGTAGCTTGAGAACCATCGACATCCTCTAGAGCAACCAGTACATCATCGTTCGAAAGCTTGATACAGGCTTTGGAATTTTGCCGGTCTTTTGGCTGAATGTCTGTTTTCACCAATCCATGCATAAGCTTTGATTTAGTTTCATCAATACTTCGATAGAAACGACTTCATTCCCAATCAACATTGTTGCTTTTTTAGAAAGCATGCGATTACGAAGTTTAGTGCACAAATGTGTTGGATCTTGAAAACAGAAAAAGACTTGACGAGTTTGCATGAAAAACCGAGCTGACCAATCTTTCGGCAAGTCAATATCGAGCACATCTTTACGATCACATAGAGAGATATTGACGAATTTTGCGAAAAATCCGGTAGCGAGACGCATCGCAAGCAGGTATCTAGGATCGCAATCAGTTGAAAAAGCAACAATGCGAACATTCGACTGTTTAGACTTTTCGAAAATCCAAATCCATCGGTTAAGAACATCGATAGCTTTAAAGTTATTGCTAATTCCATATGCAGCCAGTAGAAATGGCGATGAATATGGACTGGATGCTATGAGTGGCTGAACTATATGAACATTTAAATAATCTGTTTTATCTTCATTTTCAAACCAATTGTTTAATTCATCAAATGAATCAGTTTGAAAATGACGAGCGACAGGAATACCACGTTCTAATGGGAGTGAAAACCCAGTGAACGTGTTAGTAGCAGCATTATATGTAACTTTTTTAATGACTGCCGTCGCATCTTCAGAACAAACAGCTATATCGTAGCCACAAAATTTCTGATGATCATGAAGTTCATTGTACCGAAATTCACTCTCTTCAATGCGCACACCAGCCTTTCCAAGACTTTCGCTCAATGTAGGCATAGAGGGAATTGCCCCAGGCAAATTCAGTCGTACAAATTCATATACATTTCTTCCACCTAATATGTACAATGACTGAGCAAAATGCATTACAGCTTCACTATATCGATAATTATTTTTATTTTTCACAAGATTACTGAAAATATTTTCAATAAAAGCTATCAGAAAAGAATAGCTATTGTGTGAATCATCGTTTTCATTTAATTGAAAAGATTTTGTTAACTTTTTCAACAAAGAAAAAAAAACATCATTTAAACTAGCTGTCTGTTCCTGGTCTTGGTTCTGATTGTTTACAGCATGAAGCGCTTCAACAAAACGATCAAAATCCAAGCGTAACCCAGGTTTAAGCATAATCGTATCATCATCAAGATGTAGACAAGCTCGTTGTGTTATTTTTTCTAGTTCTTTATACTTTTTCTGAAAAACAGCAAGAATATCGTTTTCAACCAACAGTAACTTATGTACTGTATTGATTGAAAGTACTTCCATCAATTCTTTGAAAATTTCTCCACACGTTTGATTAGCTAGCTCGAAAAATTTCTCACCTTCAAAAGATAGAACATTTTCTGGTAAAGGAAGTGGAGGGAACGTAGGTAGCATTTTGTGAATTTACCTACAAAACAAGATAAGAAACAATAATTTTGCCATCATTTTTTCAATAAAAACTCACTTGTTTGAAAACTGACGAACTAGCGAAACATCAACCTCATATATACAAACGAGGGAAAGAGGAAAAAATAAGAGAAATTCTATTTGCTGTGAGAAGAGAGAAGGAGAGATTTTTTATATCTTCTGAAATGTATTGGTTGAATTTGTTAGAAGACTTTTTCGCTTCCATTATTTTTCAACCGTTGGAAGTTCGTTATTATCCAGGCAATCGTTCGATAAACGATATATAAGAAAAGAAAAGAGAAAATCAACCTTGAGCGACTAAAAAAACATACCTAGAATTTGTGACGTCTGATCATTTAACAGATAAAGTATAATTTTATTCATCATCTTTCACCTTGTAAATTTTATTGAAACCCACTACTGTTTGACCATACTAATGAGCATATCTGAGCGCATTTCGAGTGGCACTGATTAATCGAATTAGAAAGTTAAAAACCTATTTGACAGATGAGATTTCTAATCGATCTACTTTTATTTAAATGAAAAAGATAGTGTCTACATAATTACATAAAATTTATAATATCGATTAGACAAATAAAATAGTAAGAAATTTAGTTATATTTCAAAATTTCACCTAGATAAATATGAATTATTTAAAAACGAAAATCGTAACATGTTTATCTTTTAGTTCGTTGTTTTTTTTGTACACCTTTATTATGTACACCAATTGATCGTTTAGATGATTGAATTGTATCTGCAGTATTACCAATAACAATACTAGAATCTGAAGATTGAGTTATTGCAGTCATTGAAATATATTGAAATCCTTCGTCATCTAAACACTCATGTTCGTCGATTGCATCAAGTTCATCGTTAGCATTAGAGCTATTCTTTTTTTTTGTTCTTCATCATCATGCAACTTTTGGACTTAACATGTTTATAGTAATTACTTAATGAGAATGTTTGATGATTTTTTGTTAGTTGCACTTTAATGCCACATGAACAAGATATAGATGCTTCTTCGTCTGTTCCATTAGAAACAATGAAGAGTTGAAAATCTTCATTTTCGGTTAATGCACCGACTGAAACATTTATTGTTTGACAATATTTGTCAAACCATTCACTCAACATACTGATCATGGAGCTATAATGATTGAGTTTATTAATAGAATCTAAATTAAAAAAAATGTAATTACAATATATCTATTTTATTTCCACATGTGTTTATTTTTATTCTTCAAGTAAAATTATTTCATTTATATTTATTCTTATTTTCAAGTAATAATTAAAATAAAGTAATACTACAACTGAAAATAGAAGTGCTGTTTATCGTGAGGTAAAACCGAACCTGCTGTTGTTAGAAGCTGTTGATGAGAAGATATTGAACCAGCTTGAGATGAATCTTGTGAAAGATCGTGAATAGGCTGACTGTTTTCTGGAGAATTTGATTGTTTATTCCGTTTAAATTTTAATGTAATGTTTTTTTGATGTTCTTCATGCTTTTGATGAAGCAGTTTATAAAGATATCGAATGCTGCCACGACAACCTGGTTTAATCATATAACTAAGATCGTCGGCTTCGAAACAAATTTGTCTTTTTATATCTCTTAATGCTGAACAGGAAAGCGAAAGAATACTAAACACATCTTCTGTGTGTAAAAACGAATATACACTTCGAATACCTTGAACTTCCAATAACTTCGCTTCAGCTGACCCTGCAATTTTTTCAACCACCCTGTAAAAATGGTCGTCCGAAAATGATAGTATATCTGTTGGTAAGATCGAAGTGTCCAATATCAGATTTTGTGACGACATTATTGAATAATAAATTAAAAGTTAAAACGAGTGTACAGTGAATAAAATACAGAGTTTAGGTTCGATCTTTAAGAGTTGGAATTGAAAAATACTTATTTTTGTTACGGCTGCATCGAAAGAACAAGGTAAAAAGATTTGCACTGTGTGTATACTAGCTAGAAGAACGGACATATACTCAAGTAAATTATTAAGCGCACAGTAAATATACTCATTATCTGATTTTTCGTATGTGCACTAGATAGCGCCTCCATACTCTAGTTGAGGATGCATTGCATAGTTTTTTCTCATGATTCAGTACGTTTACTTCAGAGAACTAAGTTTAGAAATACTGAGAGAATGAAATTACATGATGTTTTTTTTTAAGATTTAGTTGTATCTTTGCAGCATCTGATTCATTTGTACAGTATTTTTCTACAACTTTCTTAGTATTCCCAGCATTTTAACCAGATTGCTGGTATTTAAACCGGATCCCCGTGGGATCCCCATGGGATTTCTTGGGATTGGGGATCTTGGGGATCCGCTTTTTCCCCCTTGGATATTTGACTATTAAACTTCAAACTGGCAAATTAATTGAACAAAATGTAGAAAGCATTTTTTTAAATTAAATTTTTATTAATGTCTTTTCTTATTTAATTTTTTCTATTCAAACAATTCCCATGAATGACAAATACAGAATTCATAAAGCTTTTGATCGACAAATACAAACAATGGCTGGAGCATTTTTTTCGAATTATTTTAAAGAATTAAAAATAAAAAGTAAACTTGGCCACGAAGGGGACGTAAGTCTTTTTTTAATTTTTTTTATTGAAATAGTTAAATTAAAATAAAATAACATGCAATCCATAGATCATATTATTACCATGTCGCGGATTAAAAATTCCAGCAAAAGTTTTCGTCTTTTTTATTGTTCCACGTTTCTCAAACGGCGAATTAATCAAAGATAAATCATCGATTGATTTATTTCAAACAACATATGAACAAATGATTTGTCATGCATTACAGAGTATTGACCAACACGGTATAACAAATATTGCAATGCCTATTCTTGAACCCAGTGGTGAGCAGTTGAATTAATATTTATTTTTAATAAAATAAAACTTTTATTTTTCCCCAGTAAAATTTACTGCTGAAAGACGTAATGCTAATGAAATGACTGCTCGTGCGATGATTTGTGCTATTCGACAATATTCTCTAAATTCATCAATTAAATTAAAACGCATTATTATTGTTGATTATGAAGTTCAAATCAAACGAATGAGTAAACGTGTGAAAAAATATCATGCAGCAGTTCAAAAATCATTACCACTTACGAATAATATCGACTTTGATGGAGATGATGGACAATCATTTGCTTACATATATGGTGTACCAAAAATACCCGAAATTGTATCAAGCGAAAGTGAAAGTGAAAATGATAATGATATCGAAGCGGAAGAGGATCCACTTCCTTACAAACATCATACGAAAGTTTAGTTGAAGAATTATTTTGTCAACATTTTATGAAAGAAAATTATTAATGTGTTTAAATTTTGGACCTTCAATTCAATTGATAGGTTTTTAGAAGAAAAGTATCGTTCATGATTAATAAAGACAATACTGAGTGTTGAGAGAATTTTCGATTTTATGACAAAATTATACGTTTGATTTGATAGATGGTTAGATTTGAATAGAAAATAATACACGTAAAAAAGATATGCTTTATCTCATATCCGGAAAATCGTAATCCCTCAAGTATTTGATAGGAATTATTTTTTTTTAGACACGAGTTGCATAGGTCGATAGAAGTGATTCGAAGTAGTATAGAATACTTTTCTAAAGAAAAAGACAATGTAGTATTTTGCTTTGTAAACATCAAGTTCACTACGAATCCCATCAAAATCGAGTTTTTTTAAAATTATAGTGAATGATCATCTATGATCTTTTATTTCCCTGCATGTGCATTAGCATGAGAAAAATTAAAATCCCGTATCCATTAATTGAAGTTTCAATAGAATAATCCTTATTTAAGAAGAATTAATATATTTTTGTGCCATTAAATGAGCATCATAATTCAAAAAACTTAAATCAGATTGAATGCAAGAAATACGAATAAATTGTAGTGAGTATTTTATATACAATAGTGTTTAGCTTCTTAATGCTTGTAAACGTCGTTCCATTTCATCTTCTTCACTATCAACATCAGCTGTAGCAGCAGCTACTCTTTCGTTTTCTTTCACGACTGTTCCACCGGCAACCACACTTGGCAATTGGCCAAGTTTACCTTAAAAAAAATAGCAATTAAAACAGAAAAAAAGTCTTTCTTCTTCTTCTTCTTCTTCTTTTTGTTGCTTACCGGCAAGAACTTCATCTAACACTTTTGCTACTTCTTCGTCAGTTTCTTCTTCAAGATCATCATTATCCAGAGCAGCACCGACCGCTTCATCCATCATTTCACCCATAATACCCATCTGAACGAAAAAACCAAGAAATTGAAACTTTTTCTAATTCACATTTTCAAATTAAATATTATACTTTAATGAATTCTTTTGAAAATTGTGCAGTAATCGCTTGAAGTTGTCCAACTTTCATCAGTTGAGCCATTGAACGAGCGATTTCATTACTTTTTTGCATTATACCAGTTATTTTGACATTTGCTAGAAAAAGAAAAATCCTGTCAGTTAAATCTTTGCTCTACAACAGAACCATAATCAATTACCTAATTGATTTTTAACACCATTATCAATTGTATCAAGATTAGCTTTTGCTGTATATAAACGACTTTTATCATGTTTTATTCTTCAATAGAGAAATCATTGGCCTTTGTCTTAACCTATCAAGTTAAACAACGGCTTACTTAACAATTGTTTTTGCTAATGTACGAAGAGCTTCTTTATTATTACTTGCTGCATGTTTACGAATATCAGTTGAAAGACGTTGAATTTCACGATCAGATTCTTTAGAGAGAGAGAGAGAGGAGAGAGAAAACAGTAGACATTTGAAGTTTGATTAAGTAAACAAAATAATTACGATTAATCTGTCGATCAAGTTGTCGTTTTTCTTGGCGAATTTGTTTACTGATCTCACGAGTCTAGAATTGCAATTAATATTTAGAATAACATTTTACATAGATACTAAATGAACTAACTTGATCTTTAGCTTTCTCATACGGCGTTCGTTTATCGAAGAAATTCATTGGAATCTGTTGCAAGGAAATGAATAATGATAGAATTCTATTTATTCCTTCTTTCTTTTCTTTTAAGTATGTTTGATTTATTATTTTTATTGGTTGAATGAAACCAATCACGTTAAACTAAAAAACTAAAATAAAATACAAATGAGAATTTGTTTTAAGACTATTTTATTTGAAAATACATTAGGAAAAAGTGTATAAATTTATGTTTCAACGTATTAACGTTGATTGTAGCGATTCATTTAAAGTAGCCCAGTTCGTTTGTTGAATTTCTTTTTAACGTACATGATGTTTCGATTAGTCAACGTTTTCAAAAAAATAGAAAAACCAGTCAACAAGATATGGTTTAAAGTTTCTTTGAATCATCTTCACTATCTTATCTTTTTATTTGCTTGCTACAGATTTTTCTGTTCGTCACTCTCATTTCATAAACACTTACGAAAACGATAACTTTTATTATTTAAGATTGTGCCTCGTCACTTATTGTTTTACAAAATACAACTATGTTAGACACAATTCAATCATCATTCCTTCTTCTTCTATTCTTAATTGTTCCCGGCGTTGAAGCCAAAATGACAGCCATAGACGTTATTGCACTATTGATTGGATTAGCAATTCTTCTCTTTGGTATTTGTGCTCTAATTGGTTGTTATGCACGACGACGCAGTGGATAATAGGTTTCTTATTCAAAAACAAACCATTCTGTTTTGGTTAATTTCCTTCTTTTTTTAATAACTTAATACAAAAAATTTTCTATTATGTTAAGCTGTGTTTCTTTTTTTTATTTATTTATTTATATTTTTCATAGACAACAAATGTGAATAAAAAAGAGCTAGTGATTTTTGTATTTGTGATAATTGTAGTATATCATGTCTGTATCACGATCATCGACACGGCAAGTACACACTATTTTGGGTGGTGAAATTCGATATGAAACAGTTGAACTTGTTTTATCAGCAATACCTAATTTTGAATTGAAACAAAAAGGACGTATTCTTCATTTGTTTGCAGAGGTAAGAAACCACAAAGATTGAGTATAAAATGCAAAATACTTTTAGAAAACTGTTGTGATAAATAGATTCGTTTTCAATCATAATATACAAAAAAAAACGATTTTAGTATACATGAAGCATAAGTGTAAGTGATAAGATTTTAGCAAACATGTACTCAAGGGTCTATTCATATAATATGAAGATATATTCATTGAATAGAACAGAAATTTTTACTAGAGTCAATCTACATCGTTTCTTTTTATCAAGAGGATAAATGATAAAATGTAATTTTTCAATCGATCTAACTTTGAAAAACAGTCAAGGTAATATATAAAATCCAAGGAGGTTTATCATACCGTACGAAACTTAAAATAGTTTCATCGAAGTTAAAAAATATGAAAAGAATTTCGTGCATAGTAAAGAAGCTCAAAAAAGATTTCAAATTTAACGACGAAACTAGTCCTTTTTAGGTTTTGAAGAGGAGCTATGAAATTTAAACAAAAAAACAAAAATAGACTCAGTGTCGTGACGTAAATGATTGTGTAGACTACTGTTTGTGTTTTTCAGCGTAGAAATTCTTCGAAAATAATTATATTGATTATTAAAACTTCTGAGTATTCATATAAAAATTGAGCTACGTCATATTTGTAGATTTACAATGCCTTCGTACAAGAAATTCAAGAAGCGCTTGATGAACATCAAAATAATCTCGATAGTTCTCTTGGTCGTACTCAAACAAATGCATCATTGGTAGAACCGTTTGCATTTGAATCACAAATTGATACTGATACATATACAGTTGATCGATCTTCAAAATCAACAGATGAATTCTTAAAACCATCAATAGAATCAGATAATATATCAAATGAAACAGCAGTTTCATCATTAGCTGCATCCAATGAACAAGAAAATGAAATAAAACAATCTGAAATGGATCTTTCTCATCAACAAGAATCAAGTTGGACATCAGTAAAAGATTTGATTCATGTGAAAAGAGAAGCTATAACACCAGTAAAATTATTTACTACTTAATAATGTTATTATTTTTTCTTACCTAACTTATCTTAGCCGAAAACAAAACGACCTTATTCAAAAACTTCATCAAAGTCAAAACAAAAAAAGTTATCTTCAATATCATCTATGCGTCAAATGACATTAACACAACTGTTTGATCCCATGGATTCATCTAGATCAACCACCTCGTCAACTCCTATGAAACAAGAACCAGAAACACCAGGCAATGATACAACTATGTTTATGCCCGAGTCACTTATTGGCTTAGCTCAGCCATCTGAATCAATGTTTGATAATGAAAATGAACAAGTAATATTCATTTTAAACTTTTAATCATCGAGAAAGTCATTATTTCAGAATAACATATCCGATTTATTGGCACCTATGAAAGAAAATATAACATTCACTGTACAATCATTTAAACGTAAATGTATTTCTTCACCAGTTATAAATGATCCTATTTCTGAACAAATAACAACGGATGAAGACGAAAATATTCAAAATGAAGCTCTTATTGAATCTCCTTATACTGGAATTGAAAGTGCAGAATTACTATATGCTTGTCCAATGTGCCGTAATTATTGGCTTGGTTTACCTGAAGACCTTCGTCATAAACAAGGTTTAAAATGTCGTCATCGACAGCGACCAGTGACTCATACACCAGAACATTTTTGGTCATTAGGTATTCCAAATACACAAACCTGTATTCAACGCGGCTATGGTGGTGTTCTTCCACCAGACAAACCAATTGAAAGACCCAGAAGACCAAGACGACAGTATCAAAAAAGATTACAAGAACAGCAACAAAACGATGATGAAGAAGAATAGAAAGTTTATTTATTTTTCTTTCATATTATAATCAGTTTATTTTTCTCATATATATTATTACTATTAGTTTCTTTTTCTTTAGTCGAATTTTTTATAATAAAAGAAAGAATTTTGTGTGAATAGTAGTTCATTTTCTATCGAATTCATTAAACCAACACAAGTTGATTTTACCAGAATTCGACAAAGTGTATCATAGATAAATTGTAAAACATACTTACTCTAGAACAATAAATAATAGATACTGGACAATATTAAATGTTTTTCTTTTCAAGAACATGAATTTCAGGAGTATATCATTGATAGTTAATTTTTTGGAAACATGATTATGCATCAATACAAGATTCTAATCTAAAACAATAAAAATATTCAATCATGATTTTTTTAAATCGTCTATTTTTAAGTCAGAATAATTAATAAGAATTTATCCTTTACGTGAAAGATGCAATGTTATATACTCTGTATATATATATTTTTTTTTCTTTTTTTTTTATTATATAAAATTTAATCCATATAGAAACTCTCTACAATGCATTATTTGTCATTTTGTTTTGTTTATATTACATATTCATTGTGTGCTACATTTCCATTAAAATCATTATCTTCTATTGTATGTAAGAAAGTATAAGCTCGTAAATCTAGAACCACAGGTAGATTTTCTGCCACAATTGAATGATGTACAATAAATGAATGTAGTGTTGTAAAAACTTTTTTTGTACCCTTGAAATCATTTGGAAAGTAAATCAATTTATCAAAAATTTAACGGTTAAACTTACTCTTAAATGATACCCAACAGTATCTTGATCAATTAGATAATGAACAACACACGAACGTTTCATATATTTTGGTACTCGAATTGAGAGAACATAGGTATTGGTTGATGTTACAGATGTGGGTCGTCGAACAAGAAAACTACCTATTGGGCGACACGATAACGCATCTTCTACAGCTTCTCTAATAAAAACATACTTATTATGATGGACACGTCACAACATTCTATTCGGCTTACCTAGTTATATTTTCATGGAGCCATGGAGTATCTTCATCGTGTAGACTTGGTGTTGATGGTAATGGAGATGGGTTTGGAGCAAAACTAAATGATAATTTATTATGTCATTGAAATAACATACGAAGATAATTATTGTTTGTTTATATATTTGAAAGTAACCGTAAAATGATTCCGAAAATAAATTTGGTTATTAAAGATTAAGCTCATTATTAATTTCATTATTGACTAGTGAATTAGGATGCGATTACATAAAAACTCATTATATTTTATTATGCTAATTGTTTTTATCTAATCTTCATCGACGAAATTAATTACATAATATCGTCTCATACCTTTTAAGAGTAATTGATGACGGCCTATTAATTGAGATAATTGAATTTTGAATACTTTTGAAATCATCACTTAATGATGAATCTGTTTCTTCATTACTATCTGCTGGTGTTGTTGTTCCTACTATTGTATGTGTAGATCTTTATATTAAACAAAACACAAAACAGCATAATTTTTTCAATATAATAATCTATCAAACATACTTGCTTTTCATTCGTTGGCAAGTATTGCTACTAGCGAATGTTCGTCTTATTGTTTCAAACATTGATTGTGTAGAATGTATACTTAGCTTATTCTTGTCTGGAAATAGGAGAATAACTTGGAAGATAAACAGTTTACCTTTCGTTCAATAGAGAGACAGAGAGCGAACGACTAAGTAAACGTTCTATGTGATGCAATTGACGATGATCAATGCGCTAGACACCAACAAAAACAGAAAAGAGAATGGAGCGAGAGATGATAGATGTGTGAGAATAATTGATTAGGTTATGGTCAAACAACAACAAAAAAAATGCCTTGTTTGATCTTTCTCCATCTTTGCATTATACAAAAATATCAAATAGCTGATAGTTATCCGTCTTCACCTATAAATGATGGTCATTCTGATAATCGATTAGGAATCTATGTTTTACTGACGACTGACCACTATCAAGTACACAGAAGTGATTGTGTAATCTAACTCTTGAGAAGTCAAAGGGAATTTTTTTTCTTTTTTCCTCTTGTTCGAATGTCGATAGTATATATGTGTTATGTCAGTAACTATTCTATGTATTTCGAAAGATGAATGCAATTGACGCACACTATCAACAATAGATGTGATGTATATTGTGTAGTTGAAAGAGGATTGTATCTCATATAACATTCGATTTTATCAAAGACAATTATAACTTACTTTCGTTTCATTATTGATCTTGACTAACTAACTGTGTCTTATACAGATCAATCCTTTTCTCCTCATGTTTCGTTTATAATTGCATCATACATCAGACCAGAATCGTGCATAGTAAAATAAAACATTATCTTTTTTGATCTCAAGTATCTCAATCATATTTTATTCAATCAAATCGGATACTTGATTAACTAATCAATTTCTTTATTTTTCTTGTCTATTACAATCATAAAAAATGAGACTATATTGTTTTTTTTTCTTTTCAAAGCGTTTTTCTTTTCGTAAAATATTGAGATAATAAATGCATGTATATTAAGGCAAGAAAAGGAACAGTATAATTATATATTAGAAAACCAAACTTATAAGAAGAAAAAAGCAGTCATGATATTTCAGTGTTGATGAAGAATCAAGCGGCTTTGTTAGACCAAACAATCCATAGGGCATGGATAACTCCGGGTACATAACCAAGAATACTTAATATACTGAAAAAGAAAACATAGAAATGATATATTTTTGATTAAAAGTATTGAGGAGACATGGTAAATTACATATTTATTAATAAATGTACTGTGCACCCAACTTGAAGAAAAACAGCAATCGGCGGAAGAAGAATTGCCAAGATTGTTAAAAGACTGTAATAAATTTAAAAAAAGAAACGGAATTTACAGAAGTTAATCAAGTGACTATTCGACATACATAGTTGATAGTAACCCCATTCTTCCAATCAATGAATAGTATAGAAAAGAAAGTTATGTATATCGACGATCTCGTTCCGTTTTTTCTCTCGTAATGGTACAGGCCTTACTTTCTTTTCCTAACGTACTGTAAAATAAAAGAATGCATTAATATTGGTATGCTTTTTCTTCTCAGGCACGTTTTTCTCTTACTGAATCTATAAATGGCATTGCTGCTCGTACTAAATATGCCTAGGATTCTTTCTCTTTCTTGTACACTCTATCCAATCTGCTGCTACGTTATAATAAGTGTAATTTCCATACAATATTATTCTTGATTCGACGTAATGATTATACTAGGCCGAACTATCATATGTATGATCTAGTCGATTGTGATCCGATAATATTATCTAATTTTTTTATTCATTGAGATACATTAGGAAATAAAAATATTATTTGCAGGATTTTTACTCATTTTTGTACATGAATCCATGTACAATATTAGAATATAATCAACATTATTATTATGTCATGTGCAAGGCTAGAGAAAATTAACCAATACATCCTAGGGGTATTTATTTAGCTTTGAAAGTAAACTGTTTAATGTTGATCATGTGAAAAATATATTTATTATAATTCTACATTCGATTATACACTAAAATATGGGCCATCTAGAGACTTCCATTTTGTTTTTGTTTAAGACGTATAGAGATGATATTAACAATAAGCATTTCTTTTCTTTCAATTATAGTTTAAAAAAATGAATTTTGTTATACTATCACATAATACTCCGAAATAATATGAATTTCAATATTATATTAAAGTAAATGATTATTACTAGTTAACAAATTTCATTGAGTGACTACTAATAGTTAATAGTGTGGTGACTAATAGACTAGCAGTACAATAAAGATCACATGAAAATACTTCGATTATAACATCAAGATGATAAGAAAGTTATTATAAACAGATTTACATATACAATTGAGCTAATTTCATCAATGAAAATAAAATGTAGTCATAATGTGGATAAACGGCAGACCTACGATGTCAGCAGGCATACTCACATGGACATTGTATACACATATATTTTAAAATTCATCTATCCACGGCTTATCCAGTAAAATATTTTTGAAGAACAATTTTCTTACGAAAAATGTCATATTTTTCGAAAACAACCGAAAACCATTCAAAGTTTTAAAATTATCAAGATACATTTATTCTAATTTGAAACCAATCAAATAATATATACTGTAATTACATATATATGACTTATTTTTGTTTAATATAAAGCATGAATGAGACAAAAATAATTTTCTAGCATGAATATGACGCTGTGTGCCATGCCTATAATGCTTATTACGTCGATTGAAACAATATGTAAAAATAAATAATTTGATTATTACAAATTGAGTTTTTAAAACACACGCATGAAATACTTGAAATTCTTGAGCAAGAAAGTTATGACGTATGAACAAATCTTGAAGCAAAATTTGAAATATTTTTGAAAAATTTCAGGTGTTTGAGCTTGTTATTGCTTCGTTGAATATTCTTGTTTGCATCCTTAAATTTTTGTTCAAGCACATGTAGCAAAAGTCCTCAAAGAATAAAATAAATATTGAAATAAAAATCTAGTTATCTATCACAAAAATTCCACGGACTAGTTGATATTCATGTAAAGTGGTGGTTTTTGTTTAACATTCAATTTTATCAAAAATGTTCAGAGTCACATCAAACGTTTTTGAATAAAGAGCCAAGAATTTTCAAATAAAATAGTTTTCAACTCTGATATCTATGAACATTTGGTTGTGTTACAACTTGAGACCTCCCAGGAAAATCATTCAGACAGTAAGATCCTATCGGATTTCGACAAGGGTCAAACAGTGAATATACCGAATACCATATGTGTTTCAATAAAACCGACGAAATCTTATGGGATTCGTGGACACGGGTCTACAGTTGGACCCCATAGGATTCGATAAGATCCGTTGTCGAATTCATTCACCTGGGGTGTTTTGTTAAAATTTGAATCATTCAGTTTAAAACAAATGAGAAATAGACACTTGCTATCATACCTATATTTAGCGATAAGACGCATTTTCTCTCGCGTTCTGCTATAGTTTATTTCTATTAATAACGCATCCTTTTCGGATATATGGCCAAAACAAGTGGATCTCAAGATGAGATCCAACTCATAAATGATCATACTGATTTTGGTTATTGGTACAATGAAATGAACAGTGATGATCAATTTGTACGTTACATGACAGAAATTTACAAGAAACGACACCTGAATATTTACATGAACAAACAACAAAATACAAAAATGAATCATCATACACGTTTCAATACCCAATCATCAGCAAATCGACAACAAGTAACACGACAGTTACCACAGCTCATGGACCATCCAATTACATTCGACCATATTCAAGAAATACATTGCCGCCATCACCACCAGAACCAGATATCAAAGACATCTATAACCGAGCGGGCTACACGTTCTAGTCCATCATCAACACCACGACGGTCATTAGAAGAGAGTGAATCAGAAAATCAATCTCAACGATAAATAAAAACATCAAGACCTCATGAAATTACACCATCAGCTCCTCCACAAATATCAACAACAGTTAAAACATTTCATCTACCAACAGCACATCTTAAAAGAGCAGTAGCGAATAACTTACCGTGCTTTTGTATAAAATTTGATAATAATATAACTCAACGTAGTATACCACCAGCCATGAAAGTGGCAAGATGGATTCGTCAAAAAGTCCAACAACAATCATCTGAATCAATAGGAGACTTTTCTATACTGATACCTGTTGACACGGATCGATATAAATTTGGCGTAACATCAAAAAATGATTTCTTATTACTTTGGCACTGTAAGTGGCCAAATGAAATGGATAACATTGATGTTGAAATACAACAACCTCGTTCTCTACCTGATTGTTGCGCACTAGTAGTGCGCTATGCACTAACTGATCTATCCAATGAATTCGTTTATCGAGAAATTACTAAATTAATTAGCTCAGCAAGTTCCTACTCAAAAATCAGCTACCATCGAACCCGATCAACAAATGATTATAGATTTTGTATAGCCGATACAAATGAATATGAAGAAATTTTCAAGATCGGTCGTATAGCAATCGGACATTTACTTCTTCCAATAACTGCATTTCTTCCTGATCTAAAATTGGCTTATTGCTCAAACTGTTGGATGATTGGTCATACTAAACCTGAATGTAAAATGAACCCTCGATGTCGTAAATGCTTAGATAATTGGGAGCTTAATCATCACTGCCAAAAGCCAATATTATGTGCTCAATGTGAAGATCCACATCTATCAACAAGTATCGAATGTTCAGTGGTTTACAATTATCGCATAACATTAAAAGATCAAGTTAAAAGAGCCATTAATGATGGATTAATAAGTCAACCCAGCATCAATCAAAAAAGATAAGCTACTCTTTATGTTGAAGATGGGAGATATGAAACAAAACAAGCATGGGGACGCCAATTAAAATCAACAGACAGGCCACAAATTCAACATAAAAATGAAAATGATCAAGTACGTCAGCTAGTATAGCGAACTAAAGATGTTTTAGATATAATACGTTGAATGGAATTTTTAAAAATTGATATCTTAGAAAGAAGATCTGTTTTCAATAATGAAAGTTTGATTGACTTAGCAAAGATCATTCAACAGCTCATCAATACAACATTAGAAAATAAAAATAAAAAACAACAACTATAAAGCTTAGTGGAACAGCTAGAAGTATTTAAAGAGAAGGTTAGTGAAAAGTTTAATGCTATCACAAATGATTATCAACAACAACAAACACCAACATCTCCGTCTTTACAACCCAACAGTAACAGAATACAAACTAAGTCAACAACTTTCAATAACAACGCGAACTGCGATAGAATGGAACAAGATTCACCAATAAGTAACGTAAATGGATAGTCGTTACATGTAATATTACAGGAACATTGATGCAATTCCTTTTGTTCCCAGCCCTTATTTCATTTTCTTCTTCTTCCCTTGTTGACGTTAAAAGTGAAGTGATTCGAAAAGCCATAGACTGGGGCTTTCCTTTCAAAGTAGTGCAATATGTCAGTTCAATAATGAGTGAATGTTTCTCAGGATATACTCTTAATAGCATTCTTAGTTTATGGGAACCACCAACCAATCATTCTCAATGTCAACGAAATCCACTGAACAGACTTAATTATAATGTACAAGGATGGGGAACCCGAGCACTAGAAGCAGTGGAACTTATTTTTAACTCTGACAGCTCTATAGGAATATTCACGGAAGTAGGAGAGTTATGAAAAGAATTTACCCTGTAGATGTAGAAGGACTAACAGAAAAAATTATAATTATTGAAACTTATTGGCCCCAATGTCAGCAGAGAAACTTAGAAGATTTTACGTCTTACATAACTGAAAAAAATATTCTAACTGGAGACTTTAATGCCTAAGCGCAAGAATGACAATGTCCGGTGACAGATGCTAGAGGTAATCAATTAAAAAAATGGATAGAGAAGAACAATTTGTTGTTTATACCTGGAACGAAGAATTCATCTAAAAGATTAGAGAGATATATTGACCTCACATCTACAAGCATAGGCGACGCTGAAGCCGAAACACTTAACAGAGGATGAACGAGCGATCATTGACCAATAGTTATGAAAAGTGATCGAATCGGATTCCAAACGAATGGAAATTTTCACGTAGTGAATCGGACAGTGTTTCAACTTGTTTTAACATTACTGCAATACTTTTGGATAAGAGAATCAGAAATACAAGATGAAGAAAATTGGTACTCGAACTACACACGTTTCCTTGTAGCTCTAAAAATAGAGTAGCCAAGCGGAGAAGCAGGAATAGATATCGTCCTTCATTACTATCTTATATTGTAGGTATGCTAAAGCAAGTCCGTCGAGTTAGAAATAAGTACTATCGAGAAAGAAAGACAAATTTCGGCGTAAGAAGTAAAAAGAACTAGATTATTATTAAGAACACTAACCAAACAAGTGAAAAGTGACCTGTACAATTATAAATCGGAACGGTGGAACGCCTTCCTATCCACTATTGAGGAATCTCACGATAGAAATGGCAAACATTTTTGGTCGCATTTATCGAAGATCTACAAACCGAAAACATTACCAATCTCGAAATTAAAAGCAGGTTCTATTACGATTGCTGACCAACAAGAAATAACAAATATGCTTTACAGTTATTATAAGGAACAAGCGAATAGCCCTAATATAGATGAAAATGAACAACATGATCAGAAAATTGTAGGTGACTATAACAAAATTATGAATACCTTATCCCAATCATTAGATATCAAGGTCGAAAAATTAATATCATCAGAAATAATAAAAATTATTAAAAAATTAAAAAATTAAAAATCATCGGGTTATGGTCAGATATCTAACTATATAATAAAACTACTCCCGTCAGTATATGTAGATTGCTTAGTTAAATATTTCAATGTTTGGCTAAGCGAAGGTCTGTACCAGGATTTCTGGAAATTAGCAAAGGTAATTACATTGAACAAACTTAATGCCGGTGTACCTCGTCCCGACCAATCTCGCTGTTGGCAACACACTCGAAGGTATTTGAAAAAGTACTTCTGGAAAGAGTAAGCAGTTGAACTGAAGGAGCTCAACTAGTCCCGATTGAACAATCAGGTTTCAGACAGGGAGGTCTGATAGCAACCAGAGTTCTCTCAATTTATCAAGAAATCCAAAACAGCCTAGCAGCAAACATGCCAACGCTTGCCCTGTATGTAGACTACCGTAAAGCGTACGATATGGTTATAGCACGCTGGTCTATTGGTGAAACTGCACGATCTAGGCATGCCCATGGCACTATTGAAAATGACGGCTTCCTGGTTAGAGTATCGACAAGCTAACATCGCATTTGGAGACAAAGTATCCGAAAAGTACAAGATTAATATTGGACTACCACAAGGAAGTAGTTTAAGTCCATTCGTTTTCATAGTCTATCACTGTGATCTAATACAATGTCTCGGTGCTCATTCAGGGGACTTGTTTGCTGACGGCCTCAGCGTACTCATAAAAGTACCAATTACGAAATCTCTAGCCATAATCGAAAGCTATCTGGAAAAAGAGGGCGCAGAAATCTGCAGAAAAATAGCAGCTTACGCAAAGAAATGGAAACAGCCAATCAACGTACAGAAAACAGTAGCTCAGATTTTCTACAAACAGATCAAGCGACCTGAAATAAAGATACATATGGAGGGATATCAACTAGAAATAGTTAACACATTCAAATGTTTAGGATTTACGTGGACAAGCAAAATGTCATTGAAACCTACAATCGACCTATGTCTAGAAAAAGTGGAGAAGGCCTTAGTCAAACTGAAGTGGTTGAATAAAGGTAGAACAATATCGGTTCACGTTTTGAGAAAATGTTGTTTTTGTCTGTCTTTTCATACTTTGCGTGGATTTTCCCCATCTATCTATTTCTCCCGAAAAAAGAACAGAAAGAATCACTCAATAGTAAATTCAGAGTTGCAATTAGAATAGTTCATAGATGTCCTTTTATTTCTGCGGAAGATTTATTCACACTAACGAAAGAAAACCACATGAAAGTGTATGTTAAAAGGTATTTAAACAAAAGATTACAAAAAATCTACAAGACAGATCTAGGACGCTCAAGCTTTCGAGAGGATATATTTTATTGGGATGGATTTAAAAAGAGTGAAAAGGATTCGTTAGGACATTTCTTCAGACAAAAAGAGTAAAAAAATGAATTAAGAAACAGGAGACGTTACTGATTGATTGGTTGAATTTTATATAAGAATAAATGATATATCACACCCTACACGACATCATATGAAATTCAACATTATGGAACACGAAAAATAGAATGTTAGGAATTGACCCAGGTATGGCAATTAGAATCACTTACACTTGTTTTTTTCTCCCTTCCGTTTCTATGTAAGCACTCCAGAGTGTAGCATAAATAAACAAAGCATAAGTTTTAAAAAAATGAGAAATACAAAAATTTGACATTGTATAATCGTTGTGCAAAGTTTTTGTTTTTAAAGGTATTTGTTGTTCCTTCTTCTCAGGTCAAACCTGAGAAAATTTGTCTGCAAAAACATTGTTAATTCACCCCACGCTCTCGCTACTAAAATGAAGCTCATGAGTTCTAATGTCAGTAATAGATTCTAGTAGTGTTTGATATTTTTCTGAAGACTTATGCAATATCTATTAGAAAGAAAAGTGAAAATCGGCTAAAATTTTGCAGCAAACATGTAATAAAGTGCAGTTTATCATTATAGATAAATATATCGGTATAATTTATTCGATGTAAAATTCTTTAAATCAATTCGATAGCTTTTGAGATAGCATGTGAAATAGCATTGAAACAGAAAATTGAACATAAAGTATTCTCGCGTTTTAATCAATCTGGATTAGTAACCAATCTTATTTGGATTGCCAAGTTTCATATTCTCTCTCTTCAAAATATTTTGTATTCTTATATAAACTCTCTTGAAAAGAGAAATAAATAGAGTTTTAAGTTTACTGAGTTTTGACTTTTTATTATTCTTACATCTGCAACTTAGATTTTGATATTCTCTTCAAATTGAGGCTATTTTGACATGTAATACTGACTTGTAAGTATTTGCAACTCCAATAATAAATGATAAAAATAATCAGATGAAAAAACTACTGAAGCTTCACGGAATAATTGCTTCGTTGCTCGAAGCAAATGCACCATATGGTACGACATTTTGATGAATGACTATAGTGCGAAACATCCTGGTATATACGCGGGAAGAGTGCACTCATTGTACTGTGCGATCTGGGAAAGAAAAATGCTGACAGATCGAGTTCTACTCAATTGATTTGGATATATCTTTTTTTTAATTTTTACTGGTCTAAGAATCATCATTCACTGCTGAAATTATCAAGTTTTTAGCTCGCTACCTATCGGACGAAAATTCTATTCTTAACTACATTGTAGATCTTTGTAGTGATACTTCTACTGCTCGTCTTGTGTTGTAATTCAATGAAAAATTTCTTTCTTTTTCAGCTCAAAGAGTAGAATAATATCTAAAAACTATCAAGCGAAAATCTTTCCCTTCGAAAAAAATGAGTTTTAATAGAAAAATGTAGAACGAGTTTTTTTTCTAATAATCATGCGCTAATATTGATCGATATATGTAAATAAAGCACTCAAATCCGCTCTGTCGTCTCTGTATTGAGAGTTAGTGCTACAGTTTTTTGTACTTCAATCACGTCTAAAAACACGTATATAGTGCTAATTCAGCAAGACGTCTTGGCATAATATCAAAAATAAAAAGGATACCGCCGGATAAGGAGCCAAATCTGCCACCCCCCTAGATTTCGATATCAATACTCTAGAAAGATAGAGCGTAAAATTCTGCACATGTATATGTATTTTTTATTAATTTTTTTAGAACGAAAAACAAATTTGTCCGGACCTATTAATTTTTGGCAGGTTTACTTTAGAAAAAAAATGATGGTACATAAAATTTTTTCTTTCACGTGTTTAATATAAAAACGAATTGCCTAGAAACATGCTATTTTTCATGCTCTACAAAATGACATAAAAACCATATTAATTGGTCATTTCTTTCTCGGATTGCACAACTCCAAATTTGGAGTTGTGCAATCCGAGAAAGAAATGACCAATTAATATGGTTTTTATGTCATTTTGTAGAGCATGAAAAATAGCATGTTTCTAGGCAATTCGTTTTTATATTAAACACGTGAAAGAAAAAATTTTATGTACCATCATTTTTTTTCTAAAGTAAACCTGCCAAAAATTAATAGGTCCGGACAAATTTTGTTTTTCGTTCTAAAAAAATTAATAAAAAATACATATACATGTGCAGAATTTTACGCTCTATCTTTCTAGAGTATTGATATCGAAATCTAGGGGGGTGGCAGATTTGGCTCCTTATCCAGCGGTATCCTTTGCGATAAGAATGAAACGTTTAATTTTTTAAAGATTGGATAAAGAATGCAGGGGGGAAAGTGATTAATCAAGCTACTTATTGACGTGATAAAGAATAAAAAATAGTGAATAGATATGCAATACGGTCATCATTATCATCAGTGAAAAAGAATCTTATTAAAAAAAGGTCACCGTTGTCGCACTCTACTTAGTACGCTGAATCTTGCCGAAATTCGTTTAGTTGTATATATTCGGAGAATATTTTTTGAATATTTCGTTTGAACATTATTATTTCGAGCCAAAAACCCATCATCGTCGTGTTAACTTAATCAGTACCGTGAATATCCGCCGGATCACGTGGAAGTGTAGCGATTTTTTTTTTATATACATTGAACACCACTCTATCACGCACAACATCTAGTTGGCTAGTATCGTGAAATTCATTTCATTGAATTTTTTTCTGCAAACGGCATAATCAGCTCACTCTTCACTCATATATATTCGTTTGCTGTGCTTTTTCAAAGCGCAGGTATATCAAGCAAATGAGTCAACATTTCGTTACAGAATACTATGTTTAAATGTGTGTTGAGTCATTGCAATACTGATGAAACGAGAAAAAAAATCGTTATTCATTGAACCGAAACGAATGCATAATCGACACATAGAAGTAAAACATACCTTCAATTTCTAGTATTCATTTTATATCCTTACTTTATTTGATCGTTTAGGTAAGATAAAGATTGAAGAATTATTAAAATCATGATTTGGTCTTCATATTCTGTTGTTCTCCTTGAAATATAGTCAATAACTATATTTATGTGTGCACGTACCTTATTTTAGTTTTGTTATTGATTTTTATAAACATTGATACAGCTATGTCATCTTGATAATTATTCTTGTTCCTAGATACCATAGACAAAGTATGTATACATATACATGACTGAAATTTTTACAGTGATTCGTAAACTTAGCTTTCTGCTTATTCTTGGATTGTTTGTATAAAATTAACTTCAATTCGTAGTATCCTTTTTTTCGTTAGATTCGTTTTATATGAACGATATATGCAATGAGTAACAATTTCATTGAGTCTATTAATGATGTAAATTTGTATGAAAAACAAATCTATTCTCTATGATTATTTTTTATTTTTCTTCTCGTTTCATTATGAATGAGTAGAGCTATTTTTAACTGTTTTATTTTTATTTTTATTATTATTATTTTTTGCTTGCATAATGACGTAATCTTTGTTTTAATTCTTATTTCACTTTTTAGATATTTAGCAATTTTGTAACTCCTATTATCGATATTTTTTAAATAAGCTTATCATGGGCGAATTTATTGGTAACATTCTCTTGACAATCTTGGCTATTCTATTTCCGCCTATAGCCGCTCTTATCAAGGTATACTCCATTAAAATTAAACTTTTTGATAAAGAAAATTCTTTTTTCTTCAATTGATTGATTTAGGTTGGTTGCACAATGCACTTTTGGATTAATCTCCTATTGACTCTTCTTGGATGGTTACCTGGTATTATTCATGCTTTATGGCTTATCTGGGCTGGCCCTCCAAGAGTTTAATTATTTGCATATATATGAAGCAAAATAACTAATAAATAACTTCCTTTTTCTAATTTTTGTTTTATTCAATTGCTATTCAAGATTGAAAGAGATTAATGCCCTTTTTTATGTTTATTATCTTCTATATAAATATAAATTCAGCAAATTCATAAAAATAAGACTGCCTATAAATATCGATAGGATGAAGGTGCTGGAAGAGCTTGTTGTGGTTTCTGTGAATAAGGTGAATATTGTGTCTGTTGTGAATAGCGTGATGGCAACTGTTGTTGTTGTGGATAATATTGGTACTGTTGTTGAGGCAATGAAGATAATTGTTGCAAAGCTGATTGCGATTGCATCTGCCGTTGTTGCGGATAATGACGCTCATTGTGAGTAGCTCCATGTCGTTGAATCTCTTGTCGATATTGTCCCGTAGATCGATCTAATTGACGTTCAATTATTTCGCCACGATCACCAACAAAGTAGCCGATTTGCATCTTATCAATGCCACGAGCTGGATCACGTAATGCTTTTTTAGTTTGTCGAATTCCACCTGGTCCTATCCGACGTTCATCATGAGTCTGAACAATGTGTGGTTGACCATCAGGTCCACATTCAATTTGTGTTACATTCATTGAACTTATACCAAATATTTGTGCGTGTGGGTTAGATGAATTTGAACCCATAAATGCTCCAATACCACCTATATCAGGACCATTTCGTAGTAGTTCAGTCATTAATCGACTAGCAAGACCAAATATAGAACCGATCAAATCATCATCACCACCAATACCATTATTCCTATTGACAATAGGTCTATTGAATTGTTGATTAACAATTGCTCCATTATTCGGATTATATGGTTGTAAAGGATAAGACATTTTGTTTTATATAGTACTAGAAAAAAATTGTAAAAGCTTTAATTATTTGAATGTACGTATGACTCGTTTTGTTTGTAAAAAGAAAGAAATAAGAAAGTACAGTTGATTTCATCATTGAACATGAACAATCAAGAATATCCATCAATACTTGTTCGTCATACTTCAATGATTTTTCTCTTTACGTTTCATTACTACACTTTGATTTTTCTTGACTTTTTATTCAATGTCTTTTATTCCATACATAGTCAAGGAGAAAAAAATCTGATTTTATACGGTGTATAATTATTCATATCAAGGTTTTAATATAATGTAACGGACACTTGCAAAATAATTATACGCTTCACCTATTACCTTGAAGAACGTTCAGAGCGCAATAAAGAAAAATCATCGTCTATTCATTTAATTATGAAATAAGACAAATAATTATTACGTTAGACCAAGAGACTGTCTATCGAATAAAAAGTGACTGTAAATAAGAGATAAGATCGGAGCGTGCCAGTAATTCAAAACTACACCACCGCTTCTGTTTTCCTTGAACATACAGCTTTAGATTCTCCTTTTCACGCTGATCAGGAATATCTATTTAGTCTTTTGATTTGACAAAACATTCATGGAGAAAAACGCACGATACTAAGAGGGCCTAAAAATCAGGAAACAAAATGCTTTTCAGCAAACAACGTTTATTTCTCTGATGCTACGCTTTTCGCTCTCACCAATATGATTTTATAATTGCTCATAGAAAAATGAGTCTAGCAACAATATCTAAAGTTTTACCGGATATTACATGTTCAACCTGCCCAACGAGCATTTAGGGTCACTCAGTTTAGTACTAGTTAAGTTTGCAAACCTACCTAGTTATTTTTACTGACAGATAAAGCTTCCATTCGTCCGCCACCCTGAAGATCACTAATCTATCCATAGGAGTGAGCATTCAAAGTTCCACTCCCAGAGGCGCAAAACACCTCTTCAGGTAAATCACAGGTAACATTTCGCATGCTTTTTTTTATACCAAAACTTTCTCAAAAGCATTCCAACCCCATTTCTAATATTAGTCGATGATAATTGAAAACAAGAATCGACATAGAACTTTGGGCTTGTTATTTACCTTCCTTGAGCAACATTTACAATCAGTGTCATACATTCTATCAGCAGAATACCATCTAATTAAGGTAAGTAAAACAAATCACTTTAAAAGATCTTCAGTAGTAAAATCGTGATTTTGGGCGTAAATCAAGCTCGAATTGCAGCGTTTCTTCGCGGAAAGATCTTAGAATATGATTCTCTATCGATCTGGATTTTCGTAGATCTTTCATATTTGTTTCAGGATGCAGAATCGTGGGTTCCGTTATGCTTCTGATTTGCCCCATCAGTATCCTTTGCTTTTCAGTTTTGGATGTGAAGGTTTCCGCTGGCATTCCTGATTTTCCACTCCCTATTCATCTAGGATCATTGTATGTTCCTTAGAGTTTCCTATGACTGGATTCGGGAGAAAGTTAATGGTTCAGGGTAAGGTTTTTTCCGGATGGAATACTACTTCCACGTCCTATTGTTTTCCCTGCAGGATCCGACGAGAAGAGCTAGGAAACCGGTGGGATCACCAGAAAGAAGCCGTTTCCAGACAGGTTGCGGAAGGATCCGAAGAACGGAATCATTGACCTGGGATAATAAGAGCGATGATCCACTGTACATACAAACAATAAAAATTGATTCAACAATGACAGGTCTTATTCCCTCTACTGAAAGGAGAGTCTTACGAAAAGTGAGTTGAATGCGTTCGTTCGTTCAATAGGAAAGTAGATGCATAAACTTAACTAAACTCAAGCAAAATCTGTAGAGATAGGTTTCACCGAAGGTAATTGGGGTCGGGGAACTCTAATCTGGTGTGAGATTTTCAGAATTTATGATCCTCAACTTTTTTAGAGAAAATAGTTTTCCTTGTAAAGTTTGATCAGATGCTGTCGGATTCGAGGGAGTCGAATCGGAGGTCAGATTTTTGAATTTTCGCTGTCTACATTTTTTAGGGAGAGAAAGAGAGTTTTTTAGGAAAAAAATGACTTTGTTTAAAGTTTGACCGAAAGTTTTTGACGCGAAGTCATTCGATTTTAAGTGTAGTTTTTCAAAAACATTTTGTCATCGTTTTGATAAACAAAAAGGGTTGCACAGAATGAATACATGAGATTTTTCAAAAATTAAAGCTAAGTGACCAGGAACTGACGAGTGACTGGTATTTCGACAGCGTTTAGGAGTACCACAACGACGTCATTAGTGGTTATGATCCTAAACAAATAAATAAAGTTGATTCAAATAAGATAGCGGCTGTCGCTGGATCTAATATTAAATGCTTAATAATCTTTCATAGTTCAAGCGAGTTGATAATGCATTAGGAGCTGTTTAGATCATCGTATTTTCGTGATAGGGTATCATTCGATGATGTTGATAGTGGTATATATATATATGGTATGCTTATATTGGATTTTATTACGCATCAGCTATAGGGATCTTGCGGCGAAGTCTATTATTGGTTTGGCAACGGCTATTCGTGATTGGCGTACCAGAGGAGCGCCTGACGAGCGACTAGCTGCTAATCTGGATATATCCTTGTTTCGTTGCGTATGAAAATTTTACTATTTAAGCAAACATGGTTTTGGAGAATGCTGCACTAAGTTCCTTTTCAACAAACAGTTCAACATAGCTACATGCCTGCATTTTATGTATAAACACGAAGTCGTTGAAGGCTTTTTTCGAAGTCTTCAGTTTATACTTGATATGTCAACTTTTATTGTAGCACGAAGAATTTATTCAAACTTAACACATAGAATTCTAGATTAGCGCATCTACGAACGTTCGCAAACTGTGCAAGTACTCAGGAATCTTGTCGTATTCTTCTCAAAATTGTGAGTAATTTTTTTCATATGTAGATGAAACTGAATTAAATTAGTCCCATAACTGTTTTTTTCATCTAATAATTATATAATGAAGCGAAGCTTTCAATCAATCATGCAGTGTTCAAAAGGACCACGTTCACCGCATATATGAAACAATACTAGCCGCTCAGTTAAAAAGCTGTTGTGATTATAAGACAACAGGCCTTGCAAACGTATCGAATAGTTACACGTTGTCTCGATCAGAAAAGTTGAAACAATTTTCGAAAATGGTAAATATCTTCAAGTTCTTCCGAAGAAAGGCCATGAAATAATTGCTCAAGTCGTGTGAAATATTTGAAATTTATATTTGTCGTAATTATCTTAATAAGTTTATTTTTTCCTGATTGCGAGTGGATTTGATTCAAAAGATGTAAATCTTAGATTTATCTATCTGTGAACGTGCACCCGGGAATGAATATATGCATTCTAGACGAAAAACGCGCCGAAGCAAAATGAACCCAGATGGATTTGAACAAAAATAAGGATAAAGCTAACCGAAATCGAGTTAGAAAAGTCAGTTTGATTTGATCTATGATTTACTCGTGCAGATTCATGTTAAATATCTAGTTCATAGATCAATTTGAGTTGTAGCTTTACTAAAATCATGAGTACCTAGTTCGAATTCGAATATAAATGGACACTCAACTGCATGGTATCAATTCGAAAATAAGTGATAGAAATAGATTTAGTTTTAGATGGAATAGGTGTGGGTTGAGGGGGTAAATTGGTAACTGTGGGCGGCGTTACGAGTGAGTGGGTGGGTAGGAGAGGTGCCCGGGGTACTTCAAATGTGGTTGTGGGTGATGGATACTATGGAGGAGTGCTCAAATGAGGGTGTGGGTGAAGAGTATATATGTATTAATATGTCGCATATATCGGAAAGTTGAACTAAAACTAAATCTAGGAATAGATTTAGTTTTAGTTTAACTTGTTCTTTTTCTCCATTTATATTCGAACTCGAATTAGGCAGCTACTCCCTCAAATGGGAGGTAATGAATTAAAAAGACTTTCAAGGGTCTTTTTCTGTTGATTTCGAGGAAGAAGTCTTCGAAATACCTGAAGTTTATAGTAGTCAGGTTGGGATCTGTTTGCGTCTGCTATGGTATAGTGAATGATTTTGAAGCAGTGCGTGAGATTATCGGCATTCGAGAAGCTGACTGGAAATTTACTTTTTTACAGGTACGACTATCCAGGATGACGAGGTGTGGCGGTGCCGGAAAATCTGCGAACGATTTCAGGAAGATCGGAATTTCCGAAATTTTCCCAGTTGGAATCGGTCGGATTTCGTTAGTTCCGTCGCGTGTTCCGTTTATATTCATTTTGATCACGGATCGATTCCTGAATACGGCTTCCACTTTCCGGATAGTCTTCCGGTTCGTTTTCGGTTGTAATGTACTTGGAAATCACCAGAAGTATCGAGAAATGGGGCCATTTCCTTCCGTTTCCGGTCGGTTCCGGAGTCCGGAATCATCGACCTGGATATTCTCTATGATTGAGATCATTTTTTATAATCTAAGAAAACATCTCATCTATAGGTGTATATTACTAAGACAAAATATATGCATTGATCTGTATATATTTTTGAAAATAAGAAAACAAGCTGCATCATACATTCGAAAAAGCCAGCTATCGCTGAAAAAACAAGTTCGACTGTAGCTAAAAGAAAGTCATTATCAACAGGAGTAAAAAATAAATCCCTTGAAAAACAATTAATTGTTTTAAAAATCAAATTAATTTCAATCGCTTCAACAAAAACGATTTCCTTCAATCGGTTCGCCATTTTTTCTGCTATAGCTAATTCTTCTCGCGCGTTTTTTTAAAATTTCCAATGGATTTCTTATGGCTGTTTTTGAAGTTCAATTACTGCAACTAAAAATAATAATCAATATAGATTGAAAAGAGAAAAATATACAACAATGAACCACGACCATCATTTGCTTGTAGTTGAATTCAACGGAAGTTTTCTTCGATTTATTTTAGTTAAAAATTTTATATCAAAGTCATACATATGTTCATAGAACAATTGTTAAAATCAATTGAAGCTTTTCTTCTAAAAAAATGAAATGTCGAATATGATCACATGCATTACGAACTTTGACAACAAAAAATTTTTAAGCAATTTTACAAACTTTATCTGTGCTTAATGTCTTAACTATAATAGCTGCAAATGATTCTTGGTGGAAGATCAACGTTCGTCGATTTTTTAAATTTCTCTATCTTTCATTTTCAATGAGCCCAATTTGCTTTAAATCAATATTTTGTTTTTCATAAATTTTGAAAAATATTGCACGTTTACAATTCCTGCAGAATCTCAATTCATATGATGATAGCGATGAAAATATTGAGTAAACAAAGCTCAGTAATTATTGTGTTCAATTGAAATAATCATAATTTATGTTTATTTATTTAACAATGTATAAAAACATTTGAATTAACATCAAAATTCAGTGAACAATATATTCACGAGTCATAGTTATGTGTAAGGGAGAGAATCAAAGAAAAAATAGCAAAGGTTTCAAAATCGAAACACCTTAGATTTCAATAAAATAACAAAGAAACCCGAACGTCGTTAAGGAATCGCTCTTTCAAGATAATTTAACTTATCTGCATATAAAATGAAGAACTATCAAATTTTTCAATTCAGTCTAATTCACGACTGTACGATTCGAAAAATCAAAACATACTGAAAATATCAGTTCTTGTATTTTATATTGTATCTAATCCGTTGTTTTCATAGATTGACTGAACTTCATTTTTTCGAATCAAAAATTACTCAAACTCTCACAAACGAATACATAAAATTTATATTTATGCAAGAAAATTATACTGATGAAAATTCAATACGTAANTGGTATTACGCTCATTGTTTTTCCTTTTATTTTTAAGCTTGTAAACGAAAGAAAACTGTTATTAATGGTGTCCCTATAGGACCTAGGAAGGTCAAAGGGTAATAAAAACGCAAACAAGTAGAAATTTACCAAACGATAAATATTCTTGTTGGTGAAATTAAAACATTAAATAACGAACTTTCATGAAAAAATGAGTAGGTTAGATTCTTTGATCCTAGATAATAACTTGAAATTTATTCACAAAACAAATAGAAGAACATTCGCCATTTAGATCGAAGTATTCCTGATCTCAAAACTTAGTTGTTCAAAGTAACAACTTGCTAATTCTCAGAGCATCACCATCTTGCGTCATACTAATTTTAGAATTTCTAGCATTGGAAATAGGTAGAAACGGTAAAATATCCTATACTTCAAAAAATAATTGCATTCCAGAGTCAATTTAAAGAGCAACAACTTGTCTTCGTTTCAAAGTATGCAGTGAATGAACCAATTGAAATCTGTGTTATTATAAGTTTAAAACAGAGTTTTCATTTGATTTTCAAAATTACATCGAAAATACTTAATTGTGTTTAATCGTAGAAAAGACACTCACCAGACGCAATCTTCATAAAGTCACTCGATACTTTTTCTATGATGTATGAATTAAATTATATTCGTCTAACACATCACTTTGAGTAATAAACTGTAACTCTAATTTATCATAGAAAAATCACAGGCATTTAATTGTTTCATGAAATTGCTGTGTTTTTTCCTCAGAACCCGAAAAAGAACTGAATAAAATCAATATGCCATCAAAACAGAAAGGCACATACTTAGAATTAGAGAATCACATTTTAACAAACATGATTATTAAAATTCAGGTGACTTATAGCTTCTCGACCTACACAATAGGAACAACAGACAATGGGTAAAATATCAATATCTTTGAATTAGTATGACGATTAGTAACATGAACTACATACGTTTTGCTTCGTCTGTTTACGATAGTCCTAGAGTATTAATGAACAAATCTGAAAGTATTTCATATTTAAAAAAAGTAGATGCATCGTTTTCATGATTGTATTTTAAATCCATTGATTTCAAACTATGAGTAGAGATATATTTTATTTTTCAATTTAGATCACTTCAAGCAAGTTTCATTCCTTTGTAAGCTATGTTCGAATCAAATTCTGCTGAATCAACATCTTGTTTCTTTTTATTCAAATTTTCGTTATAGAAAACAAACAACTAAGCATACTAATTTCAAAATAAAAGTGTTGATTATTTTATAAACAGTAAGCAAGATGAAGATTTTTATCTGATTGTATTATCCATTTTCAAGAAAACTTGACGATCGCGGAAAGCCTACAACATATTCCACATCCGTCGGCCTTGAAGTTAGATAGTGTTACCACCAGTATTTTGTCTCATTTTAACAGCAACGATGTTTACATTCATAAAAGTCAGCATCAATAAGTAAACTATTCGGTTTTATTTGAATGATTGAATATTAAATATTTATTTATTTTTAGACTAAGGAATTTTCAAGATTTAATAAAACTTATGAATTTAATCGTCAACTTTTTAATCATGCCTAAATCAACGCCAAGTCTGACTACATGGAATCGGCTAACTGAGAAATATGATCCGTATTTTACTTTACCCAAACCAAATTCGACGGGAGACATCGGACAAAATTTGTATCATATAGAGATCGAAATGTTACTAAAGCCGTTTCAACGAACATTACGGAAAATTCCGTTCTTGAGATCATCGTGTCACAAATAAAAGTTTTTACAGCAAATGACATATTTGTCGATAAGAAATAGCAACTTTTATTCAATCTTCTGAACAGAGATGGATTACAAAAAACCTACCACGAAAAACTTACAAAACTCTTTCATATTTATTTAGATGAAAGTTTCTTACTTCGTATTCTCTAAATTGAAATTTTAACATTTCTGATCCTAAATATTCAGACTTTTATTTTTGTTTCACTTCATTAGAGTTACATATTGTAATGGACTTTTACGAAAATTATTTCTCTTTAGTCGATAATCAACGCTGCCCATTTTATGTAACCAATGATTGGTTTCTTTCTTTTTTATGAACAAGAATGCATTGTAAAGCTATCCTTTTAGTTTAAAATACTTTTCATTAACTCATAAATCTATGCACATTTATTTATTTTCAGAATCAAATTATTTTCCCATCAAACGAAGATATTCAATATATAATTTTCGTTATTTTCTAGTGAAAAGTATATGTCACTGCCATTGAATAACAAATAATTTTTGTTATATTTCTGAGTGGTACTCATTTATGAAAAAAATCAACTTAAGCGCACGTATCGTACTGCTTTAAACGAGATGCAACAATACGG